GACCCTCAGCTTCAAACAATTCCAAGGCTTCCATAACTCGGACAGTGGTGTTGAGTATTATATTGCAAAAAGCTTCTGACACATCACAGGGCTGAAGGCAGTTTTCAGCAGCCCGGACTGGGCTTGCCTTGTGTCTTGAATAATGCACTTGAACATGGTTGGTTAATGGCAAACACGTGGGTACGCTGCAAAGAAACAACATGTTTGGTGCAATTTCCTGAAGCAACAAGCGTAAACACATCATTTGTCCAGGTGGCATGTGCAGAGATTGCTAGACGCATACAGACTTGGAGAGCATGCATGTCAAAGGCAAGAGGCAGGCGCTTGATCAAATATGCTTCAGCATGGAACAGAACATAGCAAAAGACGCTCGGTCAGCTACCAAAAAGCAAATTGGGTGTATTGGAAATGTGTGTGGTGGCCCAAACTCTTTGTGATACTCGCTTGATGAGCATGAAGGGACTCTTATGCGAAGGGGATGGTCTGCAAATTGTTTGACACAAATACATACAATATATCAGAACATGTTGCACAAACATGAACAAACTACATCGTTTGGCCAGTCACTGTGAAATCCGTTTTGGGTTTTCGGCAGTGTCTATGCTATGTGCGGCCTGTGTCCATGTCGCCACGGTATGATCAGGGCAGCAGCCATTACTCATCACCTTTTTGAACAATGGTGGAGCCCAAGAATCTTATTTTCACAATGCCCTGCTCCTTCCATAATTGGCAGCAAAGCACCTTCAACGATGTAACTGAGGTGCAAGGCATCCAGAGCATTGGATTTTGCCAACGGTGCAGCGAAACCGACGCTCGCTGGTTCAGCGAGCTGCTTAACTCTCAAGCATTGAGTCTTAAGCTCAAGTGCCAGAAAGCCTCATCTAGTTGTTTGTTGGCTGAGCTTCAGTCCTATGCCTGATTTTACCAAGCTGTTCAAATACTTTGCGGAGCATTGTGACCCTTGGAGCCTGCAGTGTTTTTCTGCTTGAATATTTGGCGTGCCAATACATTGAGGTTGCGAGAACGAGCCTGCTGTGCCAAAGCCTTAGACACTGAAAGACATTTAGTTGATCATGCCATCCCTGGGCAGGCAATTCACATTGCCGAGGAATCACTTGGTTCACCTCTACCGGGATCTGGCCAAGGGTGATTATGGTGCGCCCAGAATCATTTTGCCATGCTGTTCCAATCCCAGTTTGGGCCTGCGGCCTTTACCCAATTGAATTGGAAGCTACCGCAGGTGTCGCTTTTGCGCCAGCGCTGAAAATGCCGGGCAGTGCGGTGATTTGCTTTGGGAATGCCGTAGCTCGGCCGCATTGGGCTGGACATTCGAGCAAGCGACGACAGCGCACAATGGTCTGGTTTGAAGCTACATGTTGACATGCGTTGCGCATGATGAATGGCAAACCTTGCATTTGTCGGACGGCGAGCAAGCGATATTGCTTGCAATGTGAAATACAGTATGTGTTGGCAACATCTGAATCTGACATTTGCTCCAGTGCATGCAGAGTAAATGGCGCAAGCCAGGGAGAACAAGCCCACGAAGAGCTGTGATGAGTCTTCGCTCATGCTTTGATCTCGAGTCCAGTTGAGACATGACTGCGTCCATTTAGTCCTTGAAGTCATTAATTTATTGGACGGCAGTATGCCCATTGCAATGCAGGAATGACGGTGTATTGATTCTTGCTTGTTTGGCCAGCCAATGATGCCAGTTGCCAGACACATGGCACATCATTCAGCATTATTGATTTGGGTTTCCGAAAGCAATAGCGCCAAGACTTCAGAGTGGGATCCCCGAAAAATACCATCATACATCCAGCTGTAGAGCTGTTTCGACAGCCTCAGGTGTTTTGGAAGAAGAACCGCTGGCAGGCAGGCTACAAAGGGTGCATCGTTTGTTTCGTATATGGGTTGTAGCTTGTGGTGTATTCGAAGTTGGCCACAGATTGAGAGCAGCCAAGCCCCGCAGTTCGAGCGCCGATGGTCAGTGGGCCAGAAAGCACTTTGCGTGCAGCCGCGAGCTTATCAAATGCAGCAAAAGCAAATTATGAAGGCAAGAGCCTTATGAAATGTTCTGTGTGTTTCTTATGGTGGCCAAGAGCTGAATGCATCGATCGACGTTTTGCAGGCTGTCCTCGCTTCTCGAATGTCCTGATCTGCTGGTGTGCTGCAGTAAGCCACCTGGGGTCTACGCAGTGGAGTGGGGTGCGCCACTGAAGTTTCCGAAGAGTCAGCTGATGGACATTGTCTTTTCGTCATTCCGGCAAGCTAGGAGAGGCTTTGACAGACGACGAGCTCATGCGAGAGCCGCTGCCTTGGCTGTGCAAGCAAGGCAATTGTCGCATTTTCAAGTTTGTGTTGAAAGCGGCAGTAATGTCGAGAAATGTGGCCAGGTTGCTGCCAGTGCAATCCCAGCTGTTGGAGACCGCTGCATCAGAGGAGCTGAGGCTGAATTTAACCAAACCAAGTCCAAGCGAGTGATTCAGAAAGACAGAGAGAGGAGAGTGAACTCACCGACCCGATTTTAGCCCACAAGAGTAAGAGATTTTGTGAGCTGATGGGCTGGGCAGTATGCGTGCATTTGGTCCCTGGCAAGAAATAAGACATGTGACAGGCCTTTGTGGTGTGGCGACTTCGGCATGGGATCGGCTGCAACTTGACAACTTAACATGAAGGAACGCAGATAGAAAGAAGTGAATGAGTGCAACACGCTTTTGGACAATTTGAGGCAGTAATGAGCAGCCTGGATCAGGACTGGAGAGAATTGCTGCGGAAGAGAGAAAGGGAGAGAAACAGAGAGAGACCAAAAAACAAAAACAAGAGAAAACAGTCTGAGCGGAGTGGTAGCTGTTGCCGCGAGGAATCTCCCAAGGAACCCAAGGTGCACAAAGTTGCCGTGCTCAAGTCACACGTCCATCCTGAGTGCAGGCTGAAGAGAAGCATGCGTGGCCTGAACCTTGGAAGTAGTTTGGACACTGAAGACGTCCACTCAAACTCCGCTCCACTTGACTGCCTTCAAATTCACCGACAAACGATAAACAAGCGCCTGCAGTCAACCAGCACTGGGCTTGGCGGGGGCGGGGGGTAGGCAGAATGCCTGCGGATCTGTCTTCGAGCAAAGTCCATGGACCTCAGCGTCCAGGCTTCAAAGAGAACACGCGAATATTGCCATACACGGAGTGTGATTGCAATGAGGCCTCAACATTGAACATTGTCCTGTTTGATGCTTTTTAGGGATGTTGTATACACGCGGTGGAGAGGATTGGAGACAGTGGCCCGTCCATAATTAGCAATGCCATAAGTGTTGTATGCATGCATCCTGGCAGGTTCACCGCCGGCAATTCCACTGATGTCATCCTTCATGACGAAAGCCTTCGAGTGCCGGCAGCTTAGGGCGTGCCAAGATGCCACAGTTGCCAATGAAGAAGCAGTTCCTGCGCGATGCATACAGTCTGGACCTGCCAAAGGTTGGCAGTGCTGGGAGGCCTTCCTGTGAATTGTGACCAGAAGCCAGGGACCCAATGCTTAGTTAGTTCAAGAAGATAGGCGAAGCTGCCAGTTCATCCCTGCATGCCCAGGGAAACACTGAAGGATTTGCTGCGATGTGATGCACTCAGTGCTAAGAGAGACGCATGATCGAATCATGTGTAAATTACTGGTGGATGTGATGTGCATGTATGCAACATGGGTTTTTGAGTTCATTTAACTTGCGTAATCGTGTTGCTAAGGTGGATTTCCATCCGATCACCTCATGCAAATGGCAACTTGCCTCAAAGTCAGCAAACGCTCTTACATTGTGATATGGCCAAAAACATGCTGCCACGTCTAAGAGGAGGCGTGATTCCCTTGGCGACCGCAATGCGGCAGCATTGCACCCCTGCGTCCCAGGCTGCATTCTCGGCCTCCGGCGCAGACTTGCAGCACCCAGATGGTGATGCTACCGACCAGGAGGCAAGATCCAGACAAGACAGCGCACTGCACATATGCACAATGAGTATTTTTGTCGAGCATGTGGAATCTCTCGAGCATACCATGCATGGTTGATATGAGGTAGCTCATGTTTGTTTGTGGACTTTTAGGGCTCAGTCGGTGCACCTTGGCAAAAATCCTACACAGCAAACAGGGACATTGATCCCTGGGAGGCCCAGCCAAGTGAGAAGCTGAGACGGGTTGGCCGGAGGCAGTGGAAGCCCATGCAGGACATGCTATGTGCACGCATGCCCGACAATTTGCTGGCTAAGATTATTTGTTCACTGATTCTTCACCCGTATTCCCTAGCAGCTCATTCAAAACTGAAAAGCTCCGCAAGGCCCTGCAATGTTCTGTGTGTTTGGCATCGTGGAAGGACTTGCATTCAGCTCTGCATGCAAGGACAGCCTGGGCAGCGGCGAGTGGAATTCAAGCCATGCATGCACGATCAGGCTGCAATAGGGCTATTTTTGGGCGATATGCTAATTTGTTCGGAGGTTGGTTGCCGTTATTTCGTTTAGGCTTTATTCCACGTACTTGTTGGTTTGCTTTAGAGGCACTTGCAAAGGGCGCAAGAGCTTCCTAGTCAGCATTCGTTTAGGGCTGCCCGGCTGCAGAGCAGGCAGATGACATTGTGTACAGCTTTAGTATCTCGAGCAGGGATTCAAGCTCGACTCGCAATTCGCAAGTTCTGCATGGTGTTTGGCCATTGGCAAAGAAAGTTCAGCCGGAGCCACACATAGGGTGATGGAAAAACAAGGTGCGCTGATTTGCTGTTTGCATCAATTTATCATCGCTTATCTCATCTCACTTCTGAGGATGACCATTTGTCGCTTCATGGATTGCCTGATGTATGGGACCAGTACTTATGCGCCCTTTGCAGCACAACAGTGCAAGGCTTATCATTGAAAGAACAGTTTGCATGATTGCAATATATTGCAATAGGTCAACCACATCAGCCAGCGACTGGATCAGACTGGATCAGATCAGCCCCTGAGCTTCTTTCTCGGAGGAAAAAGGACACTAATCCGGTTCAGCCAGGAAGCGCCAGCCCATGCTTGACTGCAAAGCCTGTCATGGCGACGTGGGCGGATGCATCAGGTGCCCGCTGTCACCATCTGAAATCGGTGTCTTTCACCATGATGGCTTGAGCCATGTTGCCCGGCAAGACAAGCACTGGAACTCTGCTAACTTCGCAAGGTGAGGATGCAACGGTCATGGCGCTGGCGCATCTGCTGCAGCCGCTGGCCTAGACAGCTGCAATTCCCGGTCGTTGCCATTGCCTGCTTCCTTGCTAGGTGGAGCGGAGGAAGTCGACCTGCCAGCGCGGTGGGGTATATCTATCAAGAGGCCAGCAAGAGACGCATGGCCATGGCCCAACCACAATGGGGTCAACGGCAGGACTTACAAGCCGGTGTTTCACGTCCGTGCGCGTTGCAGGAGGGTGGCAGCATGCACCGCTGGGTGGTGCAGTCACATGGTGGCGTGCAGAATTTCGTGGCCGCCCATCCGGAGGCAGTCCACTCCCCATGTTCCGTGCAACAATTAGTGTACAGATTGTGTATAAGAATCTGTTTGTTGACCGAAGCAGAAGGGCCTGCCTGTTTGAGGCGTTTGTCCTGGAGCCAATGAAGCCAGGTGCAGCTGGTTCGTTTGTCAGAAGTCAACTTCATGGGTTGATGTGCACATGAACGCTCTGCAGATGCCACAGTCGACACATGGCTCAATATGCAGCTTGCAAAATGCAGATCCGACACAGCCTCGCAGTGTTAGTCTGCAGCTACCAGTACTCCGTTCTGAAAACTAAGTGATGAGTGATGAGCCAAGCTTACATGAACAGCGTCAGGCACAGATCAATTCCGATCTCGTGCGCCATGTCATGGCCTTTGAAGGGCATACGAGTTCTCGAATTGGAAGGCGATAAGAGCTGCCACTTGTGCTGTTGCAGCCGTATTCAGAGGTCACAGGCATGCAGGTGATGTCAGCAGGCATTGGACCTTGCCCCTTGACTGGCTGCGTCCTTGCAGACTTCGGCGCAGATGTCGTTGGCCTCAGGTGTGGGTTTCATTTGCCGTTGACATCCCCACCACCTTACTGTAGTCACTGAACATGGCAGGGGAGGTCGCACATGCACGTATTTCTTTGCGTTCCCCCATTCAACAAATGTAAAGGTGTCATTGTGTGTGTGCGCGTGTGATTAGCTTTCTTGTTGAGGGGTGATCATTTTCTGAAACAGGGCAGGTCTTGGCTACACTAAATCACACCCCTCCACACAGGTCAGACTACACTACAGAGACTTTGTATATATGCTAGGGGGTGTAGCTTTGTTGTTTGGGAGGAGGGGTAACCACACATCAAGCACGTTTGCTGGAATGTTCATTTCTTAAAAAAGGGATTAAAGATTCCCAGAACATATTTTCTCAGATTCTTGAATCTTGAATCTTGAATCCATACTGGTTTTCATTTTGTTTCTGAAATTCTGGGATTCAAGATTTCCAGAAAATTGTTTCTCAGATTCTCGAATCTTGAATATTGCATCCGTTTCTTTGGGGTTGTTCTAACAACCGTGGATGCATTCAAACTCTTTCAGATCGCACGTACTGATGTCTTTGCTTTTATCACATATGTATGCATGCATGCATATCATACATACATATATGGCACACCCCTAATTTTGACACACAATCCAAGAAGCACACAAGGCATAAAACACTGGACAAATACAGGTCAAACGCACCAAACCAGGGTCCATGGAGGGGTACTATATATATATATATATATTGTTTTTGATGTCCCCGAAGGGGGTGGCAATTTGTCGGCTAGCACGTCAGCATTGGCGTAGATATCCAATGATATCTACATTGAGAGCCGCCTTTGATGTCGTCCAGCTCATTTCTTTGAGTCGAGAGACGCAGTCAACATGTGTGGCTAAGTGATTTATGCCCAAGGTTGTATCTGTGTGCCGATCGTTATGAGCTTAGCAAGACCGTGCCAATCTGAATGCACGTGCATTGGTGTGTAATGCTGTTTCGCTGCAGATTCATGATGACTGAGGAAGAATGGACGTGCGCGGTCACAGGGTGATCCGGTTGCCCGTGGAAAGCGCCCGACACTCATTGAAGCGTCCGTCAGAAGCAACTGTTTACATCATGAGGGAAGCATCATGCAAAACACCAATAATATTGGGAGAGCTAGTCTGACCCAGGCTCTATCTCAATTGACATCAAGTCCGCAGAGGGTGCCAAGGCGTGCTGGGCATGCTGAAGTGTGGGTGGACAACCACACGTGGTTCTAATCCAGTGTGGCAAGACTGCCGCGCCCCGTCATTCTCAAAACATTGGACCAACAAGATAGTTATGTGCGGACATGTGCGAACAGGCCCATTGATTCTCCTGTTTGGCGCCGCAATAATGCACACTGCGTAGCTTGTTTAGCGAGACAGCTTGCTAGGTAATCAGGCGTCTGGCATCAGCCATGGATGTTTTCCTTGAGCCCTTCCGTCCTGGGGCAAGCACCTCGGCAAGCGTTCGACAGGATTCCTGTGTCAGATATGACCTTCATTTTCCCGCTGCCTATTCAAGGTTGTCGAGAGGCTTGGCATCGGCCCAGAGGCATCACCATTTTGTTTGCGGCGCGGGTGCAATGTTGCGGCTTTTGCCCGTTTATGGGCTTCCGAATGAATGCGCCAGGAATTGTGCCGTGAGAACCCCAGGTTGATCTATGGCCGAATGACAGGACCGTACAGATGACTGTGTTGCTGCAGGATGCTGCAGCCGGTTTCCTGTCGCTTTTGCTTTCCTTTAGTTTGTAGGTGGCGATAGTGCGAAAGAGGATGGCATTTGGTCTTGCCACTTGAGAACACAAATGGCAGGATTTGGACAAGGTGGCACAGAATTCAGCAACATGGCTGGCCACGACAGCAATTATTTGGCGCTTTCAGGCGCGCGCAAACCTGGAGAGAGTCTACGGGTATGCAGTATGTTGCGTTCATGGCTCGCGCCGCCAGCTATTTTGCCTGAGTGGTACAGAAGGTTTCAACAATGCACAGGTGCACTGGACTTCTTCCGACGCGGTGATGAAAGGCCATTTCCTCCGGCGAACTTTGCTGCAGATTACGTTGCGGCCTCAGCCGTCATTTGCCCTTCTCAAGCAAAGCCTTCGGCAGGATAGGACAAGCTTCGATTACATATTACAGCGCGGGCTGCAAGCGTCCAGCCAAACTTTCATGCAGGCTGGCGGCGGCATGATGCTCGCAATGGGAGTCTTGCTGGCAATGCGCTTAGAACCCTGAGACCATCAATAGATTTTTCTTGCTGCCAGCATGTGTGTTTCGCTTTGCAGCTGAAGAAGAGAGCAGCTGCAGCAGTGAGCGCTTCGCTTCCTTGGGTGTAACCCCAGTGAAGAACCTGAGGCGCTGTTGGAACGGCAGCAATCAGGGCAAGGGCAAGTCATTGACGCAGCGATGGTGGATGGCGCCAACTACGCGGTGGGCTTTAGATGTTTCTGCGAGAGCGGCCTCGTCTCAAACTTCGGCAATTCCAAGTGAAAACGCATTGGCTTTGCTATGCTTTGCTTACAAAAGCTTTGCTTTGCTTTGCTCCACGAACCTTCTGCCATGGGAGAGACCATTGGCACCATCACTGGCCAGGCCTTGCCGCTGTTCAAGTGGGCGCAGAGTGGCTTTGTCCCCGCCGCTCGAAGTGCACCCGAACGTGTCGTAGGCTGAAGGCTTCTTCTTGTTTGACTGGTGAGCTTTCTGAGAACCTGTCCTTATTTCTTTTTGAGCAAGGATAAATCTAGCTGGACTTACCCGGTTTGCTCAGCTTGTGTGCAGCTGAAAAAGGTTGGAAGTGATGGCCATATGATTGCGTCAGACTTCATTCTGTGCCAGAAACTGAGTCCAGCCTTGAGATATTCGCTGTACTGGCAGGTTTACGTGCGTATGTTGTCTCTTGCAATATGCCGCAGTTCATCCCTGCCAATGCCAAGGTCAAGCCCCTCCATGGTCAGATGTCTACCTTTGTAAAAAGGATCCTGTGGGGCACTTAGTGCAGCTAGCCATGCTTATGCTTGCTTGCCGATGTTGGCTGCTATGGTCAGGCAAAGCCGGGCACTCGCCAATATGTGTCAGTGCGCCTGCAGACTGATCCATGGTGTTTGCTCGTGATTGATGAACAGATTCCTGGCAAGGTACAGGCACTTGAGCCGCAATTCTATGCCCTGCTTTTGAAAGGGCTTGGGATCGCTGCTCAGATGACTGGCAGCATGGCTTGATTTGGATACGAGTGCATTTGAGGTTGGACAGCAAAAGCCTTCCGCAGCAATATGAACGCGGCGCCAGATACCCAGCCACAGTGGCAGTGCTTCAGATTCATATGCGATGTGAAGATTTCGACAGAACCATATACGTTAGTTGAGCCAGCTGACAGGGTGCTTGGCATAGTTGGATGGATCCCTCCTGGCGCAGGCGTGGCAGCAGGTGAAGACGCTCTTTACAAGCATTTTCCTCACAAAGACGCGAGATGAGTGGGCCATTTCCCGAGATTGACTGCTGCATCAGGGGAATATTGGAGGTAGACACGGTTTTTATTGGTGGTTGATCGTCTGCTTCAAATGCTCACTAAGCATCCCTTCCTGTACTACATCGGTTGATCGATTATGCCCCAAGGAGAGCATGCAGATTGACGTTGGCTGAACTATGAGTAACTATGCAGAGCAAGCTGCTGCTCATACTTGCAAAGGCAGCATCGTCAGGAATTGACTCGCGCAAACCATTAAAAGCAAACTTCCACCACATTTGATGACTAGCCTCAAAAAAGACAGCAATTGAGGCCGCGATATTCGCCGGTTCCGACGCATGCTGCGTTCCGGTGCTGAATCCTGCAGAGGCCGCAGGCAGCTTAGATGGCACGACTGAGCAAATTGTGAGTGAGCGATTTAAGCACAAGGCGGCTCATCCTCACCACCAGAAGCGAGGCAGTTGCTTGGCTGCGGAGCTGTGCTTGCCTTCCCTCATATCCCCTTCCGAAAATGCGAAATGTCTTAAAGCAATGGGAAAGGAGCTGCCTACCTTGCCCTACTTCCGCCAAGAGGGCAGATGCAAGAAAGACACCATTCCAGAAAGGCAAATCCCTCCTACCCCCCAAACCTGGGGGGATGCGCTATTCATGTAGCAGGACTGCATAGCAGGCGCTGAACAATTGGACAGCCTCCATAGCAAAAGTGGGTTTCACATCCAGTGTCCTGCACCACCACTGCCAGCCAGCCTTCAGAATTGCAGACAAATGACTGCGTGCAGACTGAGGCTTTCGACCAACTCCTGGCGCGAGTCTAAGCTGCGGAGAAAGCAGAAATACCAAGCATTGTAACAAGTTTACTACCAGCCCTTTATACAATGTCCAACAATGCGCTAATATGAGGTTGCACTTGAGATGTGGGTACAAAACCAGCATATAGAATTGGCTACGCTGTAGCAATTTACGGTATGCTTGCGTTGCCTGAAGTTGTCACCAAGCTACGGCTTCTAGAAGCATTTGAGGCTCCGAGAGCCTGCATGAGCCAGCACCTGCGCCCAAGCTGATGAGAACGCCCGGTCACGCGCTGTCTCCTGAGATGCCTCAGACAACCATGCGCGTGCAAGACCAACACATGATAACAGTTATCGAGTCGTCCTGTGACGAATCAGGGACTATTCAGCACTTACAGTTTGGCTCAGAGGCGGAGCTTGGATGCGCCACATGGGCACGCTCAGGCCAAGACCATGCCCCATTCCAGGCAGCGACACGCACCAGGCAGAGAGCAGACTGAGAGACCAAAAGTGAACTGAGTTGCTGGCAGGTCTTGCAAGAAAACGGCTTCTCACCCACTGAGGCCGGCCTGGCAAGGACTTGCACTGTGGCAAAGGACTGCTGAAAACAAACATCCTGGGATGGCTCATGAGTGAATGCCTACCACTTGCCCCATCCCAAATAGCACTGCTATGAGCGATCCTTTGTAGCGTAAGGCTCAAGAATTGAATTTGTTGACAGGCATTGTGCCTAGCTTTATGATTGCATTTGCTCATCATTCAGGATCATGGATTGGATGACAGCGTAATTTCAAACTGCAAGCCGATCACACAAATCTTGCCAACCCAGGAGGATCAACCGCGCTGCATTGCCAACTCATTTTAGTTGTCTCCCATTTGCACAGGTGGATGCGCTGTTCAAGAGCGGCACGGTGGCAATGCAAAGCTCCAAGCTATGAGCTGTAAAAAATGCCAAGTTGGCTGCCTCTCGCCGGGTGGTTGCAGTATGACGCAGTTGTTCTATTAGCGGCAAGGATATTATGCAGCAGTCAGTCAGGCCCATGGAACCTGAAACGATTGTCGCAGGTGAGAGATGCCCCACCATTCGGCTCCGCAATGCATGGGAGCAAAGTAGTGTGTGCCCCTCAGAACCAATTTGTGTCGTTTGTCTAATATGCAGTCGCCCTGCAGGTTTGCGTTTGTCATGCATGAAATGAAAGCTGCTGTGTGAGAAGAGACGCCTCGCAGCTGCCAGCTGGTTCCCGAAAGCAGGTCTAATCAGAAGAACTGAGCCATGGCGACAGTGCCAGTGAACCCCAAGCCCTTCCTGAACGACCTCACAGGCCTGTTGAACTTGCCAATGCGTCATGAGATGGCAATGTGGGCAGCGTTATTTTGTTTTCTTTTTCCGGAATCAAGGGTTTTTACATAAAACTGCATCATGTTTGCGAAGGCAATTTAGATGGGGGGTTTAGGCTCGCGTAGGTATTTTGCGTGCATCATGTTTTTTTCCTTGTGTAGGCGCCCGCGTAGACAAGCCTGGGATGATGCGTCATAGAACTGTGTACGTGATTGAAGCGTTTCGCTGTGGTTGAGGCCACAAAAGGGAGAGTGGCAACATGGTAGCTATGAGATGTGCATCGCTGCTGGTTAGCCGAAAAGCTGCTATCGCTCAGATTTTTTTCAAATCAGAACTGCCTCCACCGCGTAGACTCTTCCAGAACTCCACATATGCTCCCGCGTAGGCTCAAGGCCCATTTCGTGAAGCTGTCCCTTTCCGGGTAAGCTTCCCGTTTTAGTCTGCAGCTGCCAATTGGTGCACCTCGAGTGCTACCCTTGTGCTGGAAAGGTTGCGATTTTGGAGCTGGAGCTGGCGAAGTGCATTTTCCGAGCCAAAGTTCAACTCAAAGAGGCTTTGCGTAGGCACTCGCGCAAACGTGTGTCTAGCGTATAGGCCCCCAGCACCCACAAGAAAGCACTGCCCACGCGTTGCATGCTCTTATCGTGTTGCCTTAGAATTGAAATGGCAGATCGCTGGCGAATGCTGGCGATGCCTTGAATCAATTGAGCAAGCTATTTTGTCTCTATTTTGAGGGCAGAACTGCAGTTTCTCATTGCTTTGCGTCTAACAGGTTATCATCAAGATTCGTAACTTTTCGAAGGTCAGCACAAGCTGCGCAGTACTGCAGCCAGGCAAGCTTGTTCTGGTGAAGCTGAAGTGGGGTTGCTTGGATTGCATGTTGGCGAGGGGGTCTCAACCAAGCATGGAACCTACAGCATGGAGCTCATTTGGACCTGTTTGTTTATTCGGAGACAAGTGGTTCAATGGTGAAACACATTCCGTGAAGAGCGCATGGCCTGGCGAGGCTTCATATGTCCGTTTTGTGCGTTAAGGAGGGACACACGTGATGCTTTGCCAAGATGCGGTGCATCCAAATCTCAGGTATGGAGTACAAGGGTTCATTGAAATCCATTGACCAGTACATGAACCTGCAGCTGATGAACACAGAGGACTGCGTTTGTTCCGGAATCTGGAAGTTGTAGGCCCCTTAGTAGGCCGTTAGACCAGCCTGAAAGGGTTTCCACGAAGGGGACTATGACGGTAAGCCACGAAAGTTTGTTTTCTTGAACCACGGCACGTATGCACTGCTTCGTTAGAGCGCTTTTGTTTTTGTACGGGTTGTCAGTTTTAGTGCTCAAGTCGGGTTGTATACTAATTAAGCCCACGCAAGTGCGTTTCAATGGGGGTGGTTCCAGGGAAACGGATGGACCAGTTTGGATTTTTGAGCTGACTCTGCATACCACACGAGCTTCCTGGAGACTCATTCTCTGGCCTGCGCCTAGGCATTTTGGTTTTTTGGTAGTTTTCGGTGTGTTGGGCTTTCTGTGTGATTTCTAGGGGTTTTGGGTCCCGAACGACAAAAGCGCGCCTTTTTCTGATTTGCGGGATTTTTGCGGGTAATTCTGGGCGGGGAACGCTTAAAAAGGTACCAACTCCGAGTCAACAAAATAGGAGCTTTAGAATAGTTTTAGGCACGAAAAAAAAACAATGAATTTTAGGAAGACGAGAACTACCAGGAAATTCATGGAGAATCAATCTCCAGGTTGAACCTCTCTTGCGAAAGGTTGCGGGTTTTATGCAACCTCAAGCCTTGCTGTTGATTTAGCCGACATGCGTTCTGCAGATCTGCAATGTAAGAGCTCCCCTGGAAGGAGTGGGTGGACGGAGGCTACCGTGGCAGCTTGGGAGAGGTCTTCATCCGATGCAACAACGTTTTGCCGCTCGGAATTTGAGTGCCCAATTCAGCTGGGTTTCGTTCGAGGAATGCATGCCCACGACCAGATGCAGCATGCTTTGCCTACACAGAGCACACATAGCATGTTGTTTGATGCGAGCCAGCAGTAACACGATCGTTTTATCAGTTGAGTCAATGCTGAGGTACATCCGTGGCATGGCAGACGAGGAATCAGACATGGATTAGCCCAACTGCTACTGAGGCAGACTCAGAGCAGGACAGGAGAGGTAGAATAGTTGGCTGAGAATGTCAAATGGCTATAGCAGGTGTGCAGAGCTGGCATCTCCAACAGATGGCTGCAGTACTTGCAAAGAATGCCACAGCGAAAGCATCCGCGGCGGAAGCATAATATGTCACCGGATGTGGGCAGATTCCAGGCAACATACAAAAGATTTGCGTCGCATCGTATTGCCCCGCTGGTGCATGCTTCAGGATCTTAGGCCGGAATGACTGCAAGAAACAGTTTTGCTGAAGACCGTGGGATCACATGGCTGTATAAGACAGAAAAAGCTGGGTGCGTTGCGTGTTCACTCTGGGCATGAATGCGGCATGAATGCGGCATGAATTGATGGCCCAGGGTGCATGGAAGGTGAGGGTTGGCATTGGTTGCGTGTCTTTGTGGCTGGACGATATGCCAAGAGCTTGACTGATGGCTGATATAGATTCGATTTGTTTCATTGCTGTGGGCTGCATTCCAGCCCTGCGCCAAGGCGCCAGTGTGCCACTACTTCCGTGCTGGGCGCTGCAACAAGGGCATGGGCTGCAAGCGGGATGCTGAAAGCGCAGAGCACAGAAGAGTCAATGTGAGCCTATTTGTAGTTGACAGACATAAAGCCCTTTGCTATCGTGTCAAATGCTGACCTTAGGTTTTCGCATGCCGGCTTGACACCCACAATGTGCCAAGCATTTGTTTCTTGACAGCAGTTACAGCCAAATGTCTGAGAAATCAGCTAAGCGAGAGGGATAGAGCTTAGGACAATCTTCGAATGGAGTCCCTTCGCTCGCAGGCACTGGCACTCGTACATGCAATAAATCATCCACGTAAAATGGCGTTTTTCTCCTGAGAAAAACCCAGCTATCAAGCAACTGGTATCCATGGAGCTGCAGCAGCTTGCCAGTTGTCGGATGGAAAGAATACGCAGGTGGAGTACTACTTGAGTGACGACAATTTGGCGAACGATGCCTTTTTCCAGGCCCATGAAAGGGAGCATGATCAAAATGTCAGCATGTCAGTACTGGTATCAGCATGATCAAACGTGAACTCCTTTCTTGGCCAGCCAGGCCATGATCCGTGGCTCATCTGGGGGATGGATCCCCATCACTGCCTTCTTAGGCCATTCGCTTTCATCCAGCCCGTTCAGCCACCAAAGGTTGAATGCGCCGCTGTGAGGCTGTCCCAGAATGAAGCAGTTGGGAGCCAGTGCTTCAGAGGCGTGGCAGGACAATAGTTTTGCGCAGTGATAGATAGACTCCAAGGGTGAGTGTGCTTGAAAACTATGATTTCTGTGCATACCAAGCCTATAGTGCCTATGGCTCGGGTACTTTCCAGATGCTTAAGCCTGATGCATTCCTCAAGCTGTTTGAGCATCGCCAGATAGTTGCAGCATTGCGCTGGTCCACCCAACTGCAGCTGCGAGAGTGGCCGGAGGGTGCCGAGGAGCGTTGGATGAATCATTATCCGACTTGCACAGATTAGGTGTGCCTGCTTTGGGCTTGCCAGCCCGTGTCGCAGTGAAAGCCGGGCAAGCTGATTTGAGCTTGCTGCCTCCATCGAAAAGTTTGTACAGTTGCAACTAGAATCCCTGTTCAGGGAACCACGGACATCTCGCGAGTGAAGAGATTTGACCATTGATTGCTTCAACCGCCACTTCTGAGAGGAAGTGCGGCGGAAGGCTCCGCTGCCTGAACAGCAGGCCAGATGAGAAGTTGCAGTTGGTGGGGTTGCTGCACTCGCCACAGGCAAAGCGGGCTCCCGCACCTACCAAGGAGGAGTCGCTTGAAGAGAGGTCCACAGCCAAGTGCTTTGAGTCCTATTCACTTGATGTTTCGGCCTGCGAGGCCGTTGACACTCTTGAAAGACTGCAGTGATGGGTGGCAAGTCCAGCCCTGAGGGAATTTGCCAGTCGTCCCAAGCTCTTTGTGACTTCCACAGTGAATGGTTTTCCTTCACAGTAGCGGCCCGGGGAAGCTGCTGTCGAAATTCACAACATGAAACGCGGAAGGCTGTGGTGGAAGATCTTCAACGGAGATCTTTCTGCTTCCACAAGCACAGGCAAGTGTTTGGGCCAGCCGTGTGCAATGTGCCAGCCTTGTATGCCGTGTCAATGCCAGGACAGCGTCAGAAACGACTCTTGAAGAGGCAGCTGATTGAAGAAGCACCAACCATCAGCTTAACACATCAAACCATGTGAAACTGTCAACTGAAAAGTGACACGGAGCTTGCATTCCACCAGGAATTTAGCCTGCTTTTGGCTTCTACCCAGTGGGAGACACTGCAAGGATCTGAGTCGCCGTTGACAGACAGGATGCGCAAAGCATGTTGCCAACTTGGCTGGATCCCGAGGAGAAGCAAGGCCGGTGCAGTCACCCGAAGTACCGCATGGCGACGGGCTCAGACCACTGAAGCAGCCAAATGTTGTTTTGGTTTCAGTTGATGCAGGTCGATGTGATTATCATTTCGGATTCACAGGAACACTTGGCAAGTTGAACAAAAATTGGAGCACCCTTCAAATACTGTTGTCAACTCAAGGGGATCTGATAGATGCAGAGCCATCAGCATGAACGGTCATATCGGCATAGATGTTCATGTTAGGTATGTGGTGCCTGGGTGCTGCTGCCGCTACACATACGGAGAAGCATCTGAGCTGCCCTCGGCTTTAGAACACAGACACCAGCTTTGGATGAAGGAGTGACATGTTCAACCCTTATCAGTACTTATTAGTCAGAGGCGGAGGGAATTCACCAGACAAGTTGATTATATAATGTGTGATAATGTGTGCGTGGTGCGCAGCTGATGCTGTGTTGTGTTCAATGCTTCCTCAAGGCCTATCCGAAAGATCACTTGCCGCACCTTACTCATGAAGCGAAATCAAGAGGTCCGGTCAATTTCAACCCACATTTAGACACTGTCAGCAAGAAATACATGATCGATGAAATCTGACCCAACAAAACTGGACGAACATGGACGCCTACCAAATCAAGTCAGCATGGCTTTTGGGGGTGAGATGCTTGATGGCTTAGAATCGGCGGCAAGGTGCAGCCACGAGAGAAGCCCGAGTGGCTTTACTCCATTGAGGCGCTTTCAGTAGGCTGCAAGGCATGAGTCATTCGGGGAGCAAGACTCGTCTAACACATCTGGCCCAACCTGGTCTGACAGACGTTTCACGGAATGTCCTTGCTGTGATGGAGGCTCGCATTTTGGGACACATGTGCGGCCTCTGCAAAGACGACTGGCCCAACAGTGCCCATCTTACTTGCAGCAAGTCCATGCAGTGCTTTGTCTATCGTGAAGTTCTGATGAGAAAACCTACTCTTGCAGCTGTGAAAGCCATAGGTGTCAACATGAATCTCTATGAGGATGAGGTGGAAGATGGGACATGTTGATACTGTAATTGTACTGTAGATAAGTAGCATTTGGCAGATGATCATAGAGTTGCCATGGCAATGCTTATTTGTTGGCTTGAATACCATGTGTTGTGTTCATGTTTGCGTGCAGTCCCAAAACGTGGGCTGGCATTCCGATGATGAGGCACGATGCAATTTATGCTGCTTTCAGTTTGTTTCTTCAAAGCTTTCCAGTCAAATGAAATGCTTCGAGGGCTGTGAAACAAATCGGTTCTTTCAGCATGAGTGAATCTTCGTAGCTGCCTGGTGTTTCCGTTGCAGAATTGGCCAATGTCCGTTGGCATGTGTCAGCTGTGTTTCGTTGGATTCAAAGCCCGTTGCATTTCCTGAAGAACTGACACAGCCAACAATATGAGTTGCTGCTGAGGGCCTATTTCGAGGCTGTCAAGTCGATTGTGCCAGTCTCAGAACTGTGCGCATGGCAGCGGAGATATATTGCTCTGACACAGAATTAAGTTAGGGCGGCCAAGGTCGCATCATTTCAGCTTCCTGGGGAGCGACCCGCCGCTTCGAGATTGCTTTGAAGGATTGCACAGATACCCTTGGTTTCAAAGCTAACAACTGACGCTGCGTTGAGTCAGGACAGAGGACATATCTCTGGCAAACCGAGCATCTTCCACGACACCCTCCAAGGGATCACGTTGGAGTCAGGCCAGCTGGTGATGAGGGTGATGAGATGGATGATCGGGTAATCGCATCTTCGGTTGATATTCTCATGGCTTCTGTCTACAGAAGCTCGGTTGAGCTACAACAAAAACGAGGCATCGTTACTATGTTTGTACTAGCAAGGTCTATAATCAAGCACTTCAAACCAGTGCCTTCGTCTGACAGATTGCAGATATGACGTTCACTCGTTTGATTTGCAGATGTACCAGCCAGGCGACGTTTGCAGCATGGAAGGAGCTTTTCAGCGGCACTACTCCCACCAGCTAGCAAAGGCGCCGCACCGCTTTGCCAAGGAAACACATATTTGGGCAAGCAAATCTCCGATGGACAGCGCCTCTTAATCCATGCGCGTGTAAAGTCGTGGACGGTGCAAACACAATGTGCTTGTTCCTCAGGGTGCAGCTGGCGCGGAAGCAGCACAGAGACCTGCAAGTGAGATCTTTGGCTGCAACTGTGCTCAGCAGACCCATTGGCCCGTGTCAAGCAGTGGTACTCTGCCAGACAATGAAACAGTTGCCATGCACAGCAACGAATTTGCCCGACCCTGCCGCCCTGCCAGTTGTTCGCTTCTTTGCTCAGCCAAGGGGGATTCACTACGGCAACGTTTCCCAGAAGCACTGGACATTTGATCCAGAAGCTTTGTGTCAGAAATGCCAAGCTGTCGTCAAGGCCCGAATCAACCTTACATGGCGCTATATTGCCATTGGCCAAGAACGTGGGACTTGCAGTGCACTGAATGCGTTTGCGAATGCCAGTTGTGTGAAGAGCACAAGCCTTGAGGTCAGTCACAAGCCCTACTGTCCTGAAGCTCGGAATGATCCAAAACCACTCCAGCAATGACTTGGGAGTCATTGAGTTGCTAGGCCAAGGCAACCGGCCAAACCGGCCAGCTTCAAAGCTGCATGATTTGTCATGAGTTGGACTGAGTTGGACTCATGAGTAGAGAGTGCTGGTGCCACGCTTGAACACAGCACCATGTTAATGTCCGCAGAGGCCTGGCCTTTGGATTGCAAGTTTCACCAGTAGCTCCCGAGAGCCGCTATCGTTTGTGACAAAACAGCTTTCACATTTGCGACGCAAGAGCAACGCATGCCGAAAGCCAGCCGTCCAAACTGACGGCTATGTGAGCATGCACTTTGCTGAAGGTTGTTGCTCCATGAGCATTTGGCTTATAGAGAGAGGAGAGCGGAACAGATTTCCACCTCATTTTAGCTGTTTCTTCAGTTGCACGGGAGTAAGAGGCTGCCGGCCGTGAGAGAGTGTACAGCAAGGCAGCCATGTGGACGAAGGATTCAAAGCCAGAATCCTAGAGTCGTTGCAAGGGCAAGCCTCCCAAATGCATGCATCATAGCAAAGATTAGTTTTCTATGAAACTGCAGAGTTATTCGATAGGTGCGATGTTGAAGAGCCGTGCTTGCGTCCTTGCTTCTTATTGCTTCAGTCTTTGTCTTGCGGAGCGTGGCAGGAATGATTCCGGGAAGCCCCATCTAGACCCGGAACAACTTTCAAAGCTTCAGGACTGCCTGTCTGCGACCATACACTAAGCAACTGGAGGTCCCGGAGTCCGCTTGGCACTACGCTTCGCAACTGCCGTTCTTGATTGCAGCTGCCAGACATTGATGCCCAGGATCGCAACAAGCTGCTGGACATTTTGGAGAATCAGGGCCAGCAGATCGCCGCTTGCTTCAACAATCTTGTCTATATGTGTGTATGATTGTGCATGTGCGCGATGAGGATACATGAAGCATTTAGGTGGTCGTGGGGGACACCTCTTCAGGAAAGTCGACCACTATCAACTTCTTGCTGCGCGGCCTTGCATTAACATGAGTAAGGATGGATGCCTCATCGTGTTGGCAGTCTCACTTTTCACGCCAGAAGTATTTTAGACCAAAGCCTTCAAACTAATTCGGAAGGCCTGATGTGATGTAGTACATTGGACCACGCAGTTTTGGCCATTTGGAAGGTGCAGTAATTTATTGCAAATAATGACTTGCTTTTATGAGCGTTGATACATCGGCAGAGGCTGGGCTACCCCTTCAATTTCGTTGCACAGGGCATTGGCACTCGGCGGCCGGGCCCCTGTTTTGCAACGTTGTGGGTGAGTGCAGAACAGATTTGGTACAGCGAGAGAGAGAAAACAAAAATGAGAAAGAGAGCGAGAAAGAGAGAGACACACACAGTATGGAGTACATATATCATATATCTCAGACACGACGGGTGTGGCTACGTGTTTCCCATTAGCCTTGCATGAATCCCTAAGAGATGTTACTCCAGGCCATGCGTCATGACGCTGACTCCCGACCCTGAGCGAGAGAAGGCAGATGTGTTTTTCTCATGCGGTCATGGACTGATCTCACTTGGATTGCAAGGTCCTGTTTCGCACAAAGTTCCAGAAAAACGACTACACCAAAGAGGAGGATTTCACCTCCTTGGCTGAAGTGCAGATCCCAGCTAAAGTCAGACCCGTGCTTTCTTCGACTTCGATACCACCCTCAGAAGTTGCGATGTTTCTTGCACGTGGCTCCGGCATTCGCATCAGAGCTTAGGTTGCGAATTTGGTGAAAAATGTCAATGATCCTCGGTCTCATCCAGAATGGCCACCCTGGCGAAGTTGTCATCAATTGCCTTGGCTTTTTGAGGGTTAGGACTTAGCTCCTTTGGCCTAAGTTGCTTGCGGATGCAATTTACAAGTTGAGGGAGCTGCCAGGTTTGACTGCTTGAACGCGGACAGGGCTTGGAGCTCAAATGTTGAGTTGTGGGCTATGGAGAAGCCGAGCCATACTTCTGTTTTCGGACGGCATTCTGATATTCCATGAATCAAGGAGGCGTTTCGGGGCCAGAGTATGGTCCGGCCGGACGATGCATTCGATGAAACGCCGGTCTATGCCTGCTTCTCAGCAGCTTGTTCTTCCAGTTTTCGTGCAGTCTGTAGTGCATGTGTCACAATTGCAGTTCGTGAGCGCGACTCAAGGAGGGCGTCAATTGAGGGTGCTTAACTAGATTGAAGTATGTTTGGCCCTTGACATTCCGCATATGCCAAGATTTGCCCAGCATTGTTGTCTCGGGGTTGTTGCGGGCCAGAACGACTCAAAAGGAAAACCACAATTATTCACGCTTAAGCAGCCGCATTAATTCCTGGTGACAAGTCCACACACACAGTGATCATAGTATGTACTTGTGCCCGCGAGCTCAGGTTCAGCTTTTTCACAAAGACATCGACTGCCCCATGCGGCTGGTGGATGTGCCAGGCATTCGTGTCAACATGTTCAGGGCAAAACTGGACGTCGCTGTAAATTCCATGAACCTGAAGTTGATCTGTCTGAAGTAGGCTAAATGATGCCACATGATAATTGTTTGAGTTATTGATCTGACGCAACATGTGCCACACATCATGGGCATGTAGGTTTGAGTCGTGGGAATCGACTGACTACGCGGATTGCCCTGTCCTTCATCAAGTCTCAGCCTGATTGCTAACAGCATCCTGTTTTGAGGCTGCACAAGTCACTTCTGGGATGCCACTTACAAGCTGCGAATACGGTCTGAGGCCTGACAATGCAGTCATTTTGGTGATCGGCAAGGAGATCCTCACCATGTTAGTAAATGCCCGTATGGGCATGGTGATTCAGAGTGTTCCATGCAGCTTGCGTCCTGCCAGAGCTAAAGACAAGACCACCAGCAGTCAGTGTGTGTGTGTGCGCGCTGGCATGGTTAACAACAAGCACACGCAGAGATCGCAATCATTTTAGTATTGAATGCCCTCCTTTGAAACGTCAGAAAAAAGGAGGTACTCAGACGTCCAGGCTGGGCGCACTTGGCAGGACCATCCGAACAACGGTGGCTTTCCTCACCTAGCAGCCGCAATGAGGCTGACAGCCTTTCAAGTTAGCTGCATGAGTCATGAGTCATGAGGCTTGAATTGGATTGTATTGCGCTTCAAGCTGCCTTCCTTGAACTCCAGAAACTTGCATGTACATTGTGTTGATGTAATCTTTGCGGCGAAGGGAATGCTCGCGAACCATCGTCGTGCAAAACTTTGCAAATACCAAGATCTCAGACAATCAGGCCGGAGCTGCAGCTGCCTCTAGATTCTTTTGGCTTGACCTTGTAAGCAATGTGTCAACATTCAGAGTCCCAGTCTTGGTGAACTAAAAGGCTTTTGAACGGACACCTAGAGGAATCCTTTGATTTCGACAGCCTCGTCAAACTCGTCAGTGGAAGTTCTGAACAACTGGTCAGCTTGCCAACTCGGCAGGTCACCGAGAACTACGCTGCCTTGTACGAGAAGATGAACGGACGAAATGCACGGCTCTTAGCTATCAGCCCAGCCTTAATGTGCAGGCTGGCAAGGATGTAAGCGTTTGATTTTAGATGACCCTGCTTTTGGGACAAGGAGTGTTTGTATCCGCAATCCTTGTGTGAAGAGGACCTCGTCCTGTACTGCATTGACTATGGCTTGCCCTACGAGCCTGGGCTACCTCTTTGGCAAGAAGGCGTGCCAAAACGTCACTGACTTGCTCATGAAGGCGCTCATTGTTTGATTAAAGGGCATCCAGCTGCCTCAATTTCGATGCACTTTGGAAATGAAGAACCTGGCCCGGCCAACTCACGATGAGTATTGTTTTTATTTGAGTTTGATGCAGACTACACTTCAGCCCACCTTCGCACGCACACTTTTCATCGCTGTACAGGATACGACCAGCAAGACTGGCACAAGATCAACAAGGAGCAAGGGCTGCAGTCAGTATGCGCCTCATCATTTTGGGCTGGAGAGCTCATGGTAGCCATGACGTCGATGTTGAGATGGGCAAGTCCAGACAAGTCAGAGTTTGCCAATGTGTTACACAAGGTTTCGCTAGGGAGATGAAGGACTTTTCGACTTGCAGAGAAGATAGCTTGCGCTTAAGGTCCGTCGCGCCATGGTTCAGCACACGGAAATGAGGGTGCGCCCAGCTGTGCTGCATGAGTTTCAACATATGTCGCGCAGCTGAAGCCTTCCTGGCTGCCTTTTGCTTTGCTGAAAGCCAACTCGCAAGGCGAAACAGCTTCAAGAGCGGTACAAGGACCTTGCTCGTGTCGCAATATGTTGCAATATGTTGCAATATGTTGCAATCCTTGCGTGCAATCCTGATTCCCGAGTCTTGTTATGATGAACTGAGCAAGGACAGCAAGGTCTTTTCGGACGCCATTGTTCCCGGTCTCGAATTGGTGGTGGCCTTAAGGACCCGAAGATGCGTGGTGCCTAAGCGCATGTTAGACAACCCATGGCTTGCACAGAGGTGCGTAAGAAGCTGAACGACTTTCAGCGTGTCGCTTAATACAGTGCTGCATTGTATTGAGTGCAATTGCAGTTGCAAGCACCATCTTCCTATCTTCCACAGGGCGTGACTAGCTATTCCCTGATTTGCGAGCTCTTGTCAAACCGGTGCTGACAAGTACAAGCTTAGCCAACTTGTGGCTCGGCTGCTATTTCTTTGAACACTCAGGTTCCATGATATTGACGGGCACATCACTCGACTACGAGAAGAGTCTAGCTCCCAATCCATGAGAGCAACTCAATGTAATTACTTTGCTCTAACTTGCCATTGTGCATAAGATTAATGGCAATCATGATGGATCATGCGAGTACTGGATAAAAGAAGACTGCAAACGGCAGAGGTTGCGGCGTCAGATTGGAAAGAGGACTGCAGAATTGGAGAGGGCCCGGTGACCCAGCAACAACCAATTTGCCAGCGAAGCCTTTGCACCTGACTATTGTTAGCCGCCGGCACTCTCTAAGACTGCCAAATTGCAAGAATCATATTTGTTACCAATTCCCAACACGTACCTAAAAAAGGAAACAGAAGAGGACTGGAGTGTTAGAGCCAGATCCCAAACACTTCCAACACAGGTTTGCCAAAACCGTGTACCATTTTTCACCACACTAACATGAGAAGGTACGTCATACCATCACTGCATTTGCCTCGTGTTGCAATCAAGAATGGAACACCTGAGGCTTTGAAGCAAACCAGTATGGCCAATCGTTTTACAATTTTTACGCAAATGTCGGCGATTCGTGTTCCGGCTGGAGAGGGAAGGCTTTGTTAGTAAATGTTTTAAGCAGTTTGTGGGAGGGTGGACTTGGACTCACAGAGGAAGATGAGTTAGCTTTGCTTCCCGTGTTGAGACAGTTTGGCCTACTCCAAGGCCCAGATCCGCGTGAAACAGCTGCAATTTCCACCGGAGCCAGCGCCTTACAGCAAGAGTACTGCTGCCAAGCGCTCGAGCGGAGGGAAGGTCACGGATAACAAAAAGCGTGGTTTTGAGGTGGGACAGCATGCTTGCATCCTTCGCTGCCACCGTGCGAAAGTATCTTGATTCAACACACTCTGCCACTGCGCTGCCGGCATGTATCGAACGTGCTTGTGCTGGCACGGCCGGAAATAGCTTGAAGCCACAAGGGGTCAGTTTGGCTAGTTTGATGATTCCTGGCCAGGAGATGTTTGACATAGGGTGTGGGCCCTAGGCCGCCCTAGCCGCAGTTTGAAGTTTGAAGTGAAGCGTGTCAACACAACCGTAATGTTTCGCTGAGGACAGGAGCTGTCAAAGAGGACGAATCTGTTCTTTGGACAACTGATGATGAGGCAAAGAGAGCGGCGAAAGGAGCAATGGACAGTCTGATGCTTATATTATTATCAGCGAGACAATATCAGCCAGTGATGTGAGAGGCAACACTGCAACTCTATTGTGTGTGTGTGTGTCCTCGCTTGTGATGGCAGTAGTGCTGTGTCACGCCCATGATTGTAGCTAGGTCATGACAGGCACGATGATGACGGACTATCTTGGCTGGACCCTCTTCTGCATGAAATGAGTCTTTTGCGCTTGGAGTGTTGAGGTTCAGTGCAGATGTTGACCGAAAAATCGTGAACCTCCTCACTGAGTTCACTGGCTTCGAGGTGCGTTCCCCAGATCTTGATTCTTCGGCCACATCCCCAAACAACTTGGTACTCGTGGGGAGTAGATATAACACTGTGAGCATGTGCAACCATGATATTTTGCTGTGAATGCCAACTGCAGTCTGAACTTCGGATAGCTTGCATCCGGAGCTGGCAGCGGCTCGTTGACGAGTGCAGATCTCAGCTGACATGGCATATGGCCGCAAACCTCTTTATCTGATTAAGATTGCAGGTGCTGTCGAAAGGTGTGGCCCGTTCGAGATCTGAATAGGATAGGATGTATCGTGTGTTCGTCGGGCACAGTACTTCAAGTATGATACCTGGTACTCTACAGGTCTGTTTTGGCCAAGTGAACGGACATGCGCAGACCGAGGTTCACTGGCATGCTGGCCTTTGCACCGATGCCCTGCGTGCCAGCAAGCCTCCATGACATGGCCAAGATGAGAGTTGGAAACGGCCAGTGGTGTGCTCAGCTTGTTGGTAAAGCCCAACATCAAAAAATGGTTTCAACACAATACTGCTTGCACAAACATATGCGTCATTGTCCGTCACAGGTGTCAGATGTCAGGCAAGAGACTGCGTTGAAACAGTGCTGCTTGTCGAGCCCATGTCAACGAAAGACCGAGCTCTCAATGTGACAGAGCAAAAGGCACGTTGAACTGCGCTGAGGTCAGGTCAGCTGAACTTCACAGAGGAAACCGTCAAGGTGGTTGTGAGCCTTGGCGAGGACCCCAAGCACAAAGGCTTGGTGAGGCCCCTGGTGGAGCAACTGGAACGGCGCATGCGCTTGCTGGTAGAGAGGGACTATCGCAGCGCCGTGACTTCGCTTCAGAGCAAGTGCCAAGACGACTTGGACCAATTCTTCGAGTTGGTGGGTCAGGAAGAGATCGAGGAGATCTCCGATAACGAGGTATTGGAGAGAAAACACTCTTCTGGGAATTTGTCAGCCAGGGGAGGTGCTGTCAAGCCAAGCAAAGTTGCAGCTCGGAAGAAAGAGATGACCAGGCTCATTCTTTCTGGAGTTCTGAAGGCTTTGCTAAACCATGCAGATGCTGCGCCTCAGCTGCAATAACGCCAATCTGATTCAACACATCACTTTTACTAAGTTTCGAGGTTGAGACCGAGCAGAATGTGTGTATGTACAATAGTATCGGCAATAATATATATTAATATATATATATATATATAATGTACAAGCATATAAGGATCGTAACCCCCTATATTTTTTGCTTTTAAGGCGGCGGAATACGAAAGCACATTGGGTATTGTGGCATTGTGGTCGCGACAGATCGCGGAGGGGGCGAGAGCAAGTTTCACGGAAAGGTATGAACTATGCTGGGATAGGCAGTGCGAGCTGGCGTTGCTGAAGTGCAGGGCGTGTGCTGCACCTGTACTGAAAAGTTGCGATGTTTGAGCTGCTTGAAGCTGCCAAACCGTGCATGGCGTTCTGCACTTGTGCCCACGTTTGCAGTTTTCCGCCAGTCAGTGCAGAGGGCCCTACATTAAGATCTCGAAGATGGCAAGCATCATATTGCAATCACTTATGCAAAACAAACCTATGGTTGTACAAGCGAGAACTTGACATCTAGCAGGCACCTAATTGAGCGTATGTCCTGTGAGTGTCGATGGCAACTACTCTTTTGGCCATGGGTGTTTCTGCCCCCCGTGAATCCTGATTCGCCTGGCACCAAAGGAGATCAAAAGGCAAGCGAGCCTTTCAGCGGCAAAGGCTGAGGGGAATCTGCGCAGAAAGGGCAATGAGTTTTGTACATATAGCGCCAGACATCACATAGTCGAGCAGTAGTTGCTCGTAGCGATTGCGCAACATGGCTCCAAGAGACGCTAGTTGCTTGTGACGAAAGTTAGGGTCTGGGGGTCGGCCCGGCCACGTGCCGGATTGGCAGCTTCGCTCCTTTTTCCGCGCTTTTCGCTCGCTTCGCTTCACACTTCGGTCCGCTTTGAGCACCGTTTTGCTCGTCAAGTCACGGTGCACCTTGTCCCTTGCTCGCTTCGTCAGTGCCCAATTTACATGGTCAACAAGTATTTCCCCTTTCGCGGAACGAACATTGCCTCCTAACATAGTCAAGCTGTTGAGCTCCATGCGCACGGGAATGGTATTCGATGCAAGCCCCTTCCTTTCGTCAGGGGGACCAATTTACGGTATCCTACCTTTCATGTCACCCCTTCTCAAGTTTATCTAGCGGTGCTTTGGAAAGCATTTTATTCAGCAGCTGGGCACGGGAGTCCGAGCATGCGGTTAGCCATGCTCAACGCCATGGATAGGGTTGTGGGACCAACGTCCTACATGTCCTTCATGCACAAAGCGTGTGTGTGTGTGTGAACGAAGTTGCTCGCTGGTGTTGCGAAGCATCATGACGGGTGGTGCATTGTTTTCCACAGCATCCAGCGCGACCAGCGATTGTATTGAGACTTTGAGACACTGTGAACTCAGCCTGGTGGCCGTGCAACCAGACAATCTTGAACTGAGGTTGTGTCAGCAACGCTGCAGGGGACTATCGAGACGGATGGAAATGGAGAGCCAGTAATTGATGCCCTGACCCAGCGACCTCGGATGCGCGAGCGCTCGGGCATTATGGTTCGTGTGGATGAGATGCTTCGCCTGCAGAAAGAGCCTGTTCAACCATAAGGCCTTGCAGAACTCAGGACATTGGCATGTGCTGGTCCTTGAACCTATAGATGCGTGATACTTGTTGTTTTGCTTGTTCAGAAAGTCCTTCCATCATGTGCTGTGTCGCCCTGAGTTTGCTGCACCATTCAAATTGTGCGAAGTGCGCCTGAAGTCATGCACCTCAGGAATTCCAACTCACCAGGGCCCCTGCATTGGATGCTGCCGTTCAAGTTCAACAACAGTGGGCCAGGCACCTAGTTATTCATGTTTGCTGGTTGGTGACAAGGGCATCAACCCAAGACAGAGAGAGAGAGAGAGAGAGAGCTGGCCACGTGTCCAAGTACATGTCACCTGTCACCGGGTCCAATTATGTTGGTATACTGTATTTGCCAGTTACCAAACATGGAGCAACACCACAATGACTGGCGGAAAGAGCAACAGCTGCTTGATTTTTGTGCGACCCCCCTGCTTTTGAGTGCACATACTTTCTACATAGCACGACCTTACAAGGTCAGTGGATCCTACAGTGCGGCAAGCTCATGTCAAGCATAGAGAAGCACAAGAGTGGCAGCACCAACAAACGCAGCAACGTGACAATGTTGGAGCGGCAGAATATCGCCGAGACTGCGAGGTAGCATGAGACTTTCGAAATATGATGTTGTTAATTCTGATTCTCAGGGCACTACCAAATTGGTGGTCGATCAGACCTAGTTGGGCGTGTAGCTTGAAGGCTCGCCCTAGAATCGGCTTGAATGCATGTTGTGGCTTTGAGCACAGCGTAACGTGATTGCCTAGAAAGAGGGCTTGGAAGCTTGCTTTTGTAACTTTGTTTGTCTAATAATTGCTTGAGGTTTTGTCCGATGACACAGGGCGAGAAGCTAGCTAAACCTACCAAAGCGTTCGCTGTTCACGTGTTCACGGCAACATGCCCTGAGGCGTTCAGTAAGAACGTGCCGCACCCAGTACTAGCACCAGCAGCAGCAGCAGACTCCCGAACAACCACAAGCGCACCTGGTAAAGGCACATTCAGTCGGTATGTAAGAGCGCTCACAACCGTGCCAGTGTCAACATCAACTACATACAGCCCACGACATAGCAAAACTGACATGAACAACGACAACCACAATACAACACTGAGGAAGCTTAACTAACGCACTTTTGGTTTGTGGCACGAGCTTGGAAAACATTTGAATATTAAGTCTTGTTGCCATCAGATTTGCAGGTTGCTGGCTGGGTCATGGCTCTAGGCAGCTCACTCTGCGCAAGTTGCTTTTCAACGAGCGCAAGCTGCTGAGAGGGAGCAACCAAGGCCAATCGCTGGGCATGCGACTTTTGACTTCCAAGTTCATCCTCGAATTTGCTGAAACGTTAGAGCCTGCAGCTCATTCCGCCGACTTCTGCGGTCGTCAGAATGAGTGTTGACATGTGACTTTGAGTTGCATGACTGATAAGGATTGATATAGGAGGGGTATTTATTTTAGGTTGTTGTTTTTTTGCGCTTTTGGCTTTTCGGCTTCTTGGCTTTTCGGCTTCTTGGCTTCTCGGCTTTTGGCTTCTCGGCTTCTGGGCTTTTCAGCTTTTTGTTGGTTTATGCGGCTTTTGGGGGCTTTGGCTTTTCGCATCCTTTGCATTCCCAGTTCCTCTTCGGCAGCTGGCGTTTTGGCTTTTGCGGCTTTTAGTTGGCTTATTCGGCTTTTGGCGGCTTTGGCTTTTCGCATCCTCTGCTTTCCCAGTTCCTCTCCGGGCTTTTTGGCTTTTGCACCCTTTCATTGGTTTTTGGATTTGGCTTCCCGCATCATCAGCATCACCAGTTCCTCCCAATTTGAATGAATCATCACTTCTTCGAACATCATCGGGGGGGAAGCCCCCCCCAACCCACCCGCTGCTGTTTAGATTGTTTGCAGAGTAATTGCCTGTTTGAATCAACACTTCTTCAAACATCATGGGGGGGCTGCCGCCTCCCCCGCTACTTTTTAGATTTCTTGCAGACATTGAATTGCACCCCTGATTGAATCATCACTTTTTCGAGCGTCCAATTTCGCGAGAAAATGCTGCAAATATACGACATTTTAGGTAATTTGTGTAATCCATGTATGTCTGTATGTATGCACTTCTTCGAACATCCTAGGGGAAGCCACCCCCGCCCACCCTCCCGCTGCTTTTTAAATTCTATCGCACCCTTTCTTAAATCATTGCACCCCAACTTGAACCATCACTTCTTCCGACATCATGGGGGGGCTGCCGCCCCCCCGAACCCCCCCGCTACTTTTATTATTAGTATTATTATTGTTATTATTATTACTATTTTTAGGGATTGAAATGCCCTCCTATTTGAATCATTATTTTGTTTGACCCCGTCAACCCGCCAGCTGTTGGTGATGCTAGGGATGTTGGTCGGACATGCGGGGGATGTTGAAAACGAGGCTGGGGATGTTGACGGGCGAGTGTAAAATGCGTCAATTTCGCGAGAAAATGCTGTAAAATACTACATTTTACTGGCCCGGACGAAAAACGGAAAAAAAAAGAAACAAAAAATCCGCACCCATTGATATATGTTCGATGACTCTGCTTGACTTGGAGCTTGCCTAGCCCTTTGCCCCGGGGGCGGGGAGTGGGGAGAGGAGTGTGGCGTGTGTGTGTGTGTGCGGAGTGCGGAGTGCGGAGTGCGGAGTGCGGAGTGCGGAGTGTGGAGTGCGGAGTGTGGGGAGTGCGGTGTGGAGTGTTGGGTGGGGAGTGAAGCGTGGAGTGTGGAGCGCGGAGGGTGGTGCAACTAGGTCCTCCAGTAGAGAGGTTAGAATAAGGGTACACTTTTTTCTGTAGTCTATTTTAGTAGGGGAACTCTCCCCCAAAAAGGGTAAAAGGGCACTATTGGGGGACCTTGGCAACCCGCAAATGACCCTCACCTCGTGTCTCACCGCCTCGTTTCTCCCGAGCCGCTGGGCCATGCGGCCCTTCGCGAGATCCGAACGGCGGTCTAACTGGCCGCATCTCTTTCAAAATCTGCACTTTTTAAACCAGAAAATGAAAAACGAATCCCAGAAACCGTTGCAAATGATGTTGGCGGCCCTTTTCAGACAACCTCTTGAACAATGCGTTTGACCCAGGCAAAAAAAAGAATCGGCCTGAGGTCCGAAACAAAACCGACTTGAATCGATCGTGGACGATTCCGGCAAACAAAAAACCCACCAGCCTCCCAGTACCTCACCTGCAATTCAGCTGGTCCAAGGGGATACTTCCATTTGGTTTTTCGTCCCCTGGAAAAAAACAAACAAACAATTGGATCTCATCTCAAGGTGGGGAGTGTGGAGTTGGGAGTACGGAGTGTGGAGTGCGGAGTGCAAAAAGTGCGGGGAGTGGAGTGTGGAGTGTGGAGAACAACAGCCTAAACACCACCTATAAAAAATCAGCAAAACCCTAAAAACACTTAAACAATCATAAACAAAGCACCTCAAAAACCGCTTAACTAACCCTGAAAAACACATAGAACAACTTAAGCACACTCTCAAAAAGCGATTCGAGCCCACCTCCCCCACCCCAGCGGCGCCTCGGAAAGCCGTTGCCGGCAATTGAAAACAAGTGAACGTCGCAAAATCGCCACCCGGTACGCAGCCCCCCCCCCTCCGTGAACGTGCCCCCCTGTCAAGGATGAGGGGGCAGCTTCCAACCGCACCAACCACGCCGGACAGAAGTCGGAGATTTATGTGCAACAATCCGTTATCATCATTTGTTCAAGCATGCCTGGATGCTTGCATTCAATCCCACTTGAGAGGCTTGGGCTGGCATGCCAAAGTGAAGCGGCGGCAGCAAGGACTGAAGTCATGGAGATCACATTCGCGCTTCGAGTGGACGAAAATCGTCAGACCAGTGTAGCTAGGCGGGCTGGCTTTCTGGAATTGACCTGGCCCGCCAGGATTTCTGAAGTCCATTGCCATGGCCTCCAATTGCTGCGACAGACAAGTCGATGAAGACTCCGGCCGTGCCAGCCTTGTGCCTTTGGGGTAGCCAGCTTCCATGCGTGAAGTCAGGTCCCGAAGTGGCATGGGGCAGGAAGCTTATTGAAGAGATCGGATTGCATTACGAGGCCGTGAGTCCTTGTGGAGCATTGCCGCAACTGATGCTGCAAGAGCAGCTGCAGGATGGGACGCCAACCATCAACTGCAGCAACGCGGTAAATCTGCGAATTTACCGATTGTGCACAGAGGACCACGCCAAAGGGAGTGTCCGATCATCAGAGAGACATTTCAAAGTGAGCTCCAAGTGAATGAGAGGACTATGAAGTGCCAATGAGTCGCGCTCTCAGCCTGAGCTTATCCAGACGATGTCTGAGTACCTTTTCTACACATTGTTCTACTTGCAGGCCCAAACGCTCCACCACACCTCTATGACGTCGAGGTCGATGTGCCCGGATTTTGCACTTCGGAAGGTTTCCAAGACAATGCTGATTGCTCCAGTTTATTTTGTATATTTGACGCCTTCTCGCAGGTCCTCAAGCTGCTAAAGGCGTTGCAATTCGAGATAGCTGCTGCATGGGCATCCATGTGGCGAGGCATGTTGCAGGAGATGCATTGCGATACATGTGTTTTAACTTCTTGTTGTCTTTGTCGTATTTGCGTTGATACTGATGTATGATGACCCTTGTCAGGAGCTAACCGACAGAGACAAAGTCAGGGAGTTCGTACAGTCCCGCCTAGAGTGAGGATCTCAGCATACAGAGCTGCCCCCCCCACTGAGTGAATGTACGTTGGGTTCCCACGAGTGCATCTCACTTCAAGGACCTTAATGATCCTTAACGCCTTTGTACATTGAATTGGCAGGGCGCAGCGCGACATTCTGATTCGTGTCATTGTTCAACTCGAAGAAAGGGACGATCTGATTTGCAAGCCTGAAATGTAAAGTTGGTGGGGAGGGGAGGAACGGGTTGGACATGCAGTTAAATTACACATGTGCGCGGCCCAAATCAAGGGCATAAAGCATGTGCACAGTGCAGTACAAATTATTCTTGGCAACTCTTTGATCCCAAGAATTGCTCGTACATGAGAACTGGCCAAAGGAGCGAGGACTCCAGCGACTACGGTGGAGTGAGGCATCTTGGATGCTATTTGGATGCTGTTTGTTCTGAATCATGATGACACAATTGAGATTCGATTGCTGTAGTGTCCAAATAAGATGAATATTGCACCTATAATTTTTGACAAGGGCTTGGCCCGAGAAGAGTCGTAAATGCACCTGGAATAAAGACAAACAAATAATCTGGAGAAAAGAAACAAATAATCACAACAATATTTGAGCCTGCCAATCCTGCTCCCAAAAATATACTGTAATTTATTTCAGGGGCGCACAATAAAGTCTTGTTGGCTGGCGCCCCCCTCAACAAGTACAACTTGCCCAGTGTAATTGCCTCTTAGCTAGTTAAATCATTCGACAACTGGGGTGATGCTAGCGAAGCTTCAGGCTTTGTTGGTGCTCCCCAAAGTCCAGAATGTTCAGCTTCTCCAAACTCATATGCTCTTACATGTCTCTTGTTTAAGAGCTGCTCGCAATCAACCGCACCAAGGGGCCCAGGGGTAGTATTTCAGGCCCCCGAATGTGAGCTCAAGACTTTATTTCAGGGGCCCTTACAACAAAGTCTTGTTGCCTCGGACCCCCCTCCAATCTGAAAAGAAAGCCCCAGCAATACTAAATCAAAGTAAAACTCAGATCCTTGGAAACTGAAATCCAAATCTCAAAGGAAGCTCCTGGAAACAGGTACCCCCTTTGCGGGGGGAGGGGGGAGGGGGCAGGGGCGCCCCCTTTAACAATTCGATGTGGACATTATTATGGCATCCTGGTAGCAAACTCTCAGAGGCAAAGCAGGAGACCTATCTGCCTCGCACAAAGATAGAGAGAACAATAAGGAAAGCTTCAGAGTAATGACATCGATTTGCATGTGTCGAGCGAAGCAGAAGCTGCACCATGAGGCTTGAAGGATTCATGGATCGCCAGAACTCGAGCAGGCGCGAGGGACGGTGCTGTGACGCCAACAAAGCAGAGTGGGCCGTACAAAGCAGAGCAACTTGCATAAAGGCACACATTTGTTTTCTCCCCCAGCACATGCATTTCGCGGTCTTGTTTTCTGTGCCATCGGCAGCTTTGGGCGCTTCTTCTCTCCTGATGGTCGACAGAGGTGCCGGGCGATTGTCTGCATATATCTGATCTTTCAGTCAGCAGCGCAGATTTGGCTGCTTCAGCATCTCCTGTCCTGCAAGATCAGCATGTTGATTCTAGAAAAGTTAGAGCATCAAAGTCTGGACTTTGTTAACGTCCTCATACTGTCAGTTTTGGCCTGCGATAGTGTGCTTCATTGACGATGAATGATATGAATGGTGGATGTTTTAAGCTCCTAACTCCACGCCAGCTGTTTGCTTTCCGGCCGTGGGTGCTGAGCGTGGTTGTTTCCTTGGCATAACTTGCTAGTTGTTGATTTCTGGTGGAGCAAGTGATAGTTCAGCAGCTTCACCACCTGAAGAACTGTGTGCCAGCTTTGGGATAGGATAGACCTGCAGAGCAGCATTTGTCAGGTGGGTGAATCGCAGGTTTGCCGGCTTCGGAAGTGAAACACTATTGTGCGTAACTGCCAAGGCCAGTGCTTGAAGCCAACAGCGCATACTCAAGCCACATCTGTAGAGCAAGCCCTGCTTATGAAAGATGCACGAGGTAGTTGGAATGTCAAGCCTTCCTCGCCCTGACAAGGTTTGGAGACCGAGATCCTGCGCTGGAAGCAGTTGATGCGGTGCGCCGTGCTTTGTGCTTTGCCTGACAGAGCCAGAGTTTGAGACCGGTGCACAGCTCTGATGGCACTTGTGATTGAGCACCGTGTGTCAGGTTTGCAACTGGCTCAGTGGATCGCGGGCTCTTCCCATGGATATGCTCACCACAGAGGTGCATGAACGACCAACTGTGCCGGTCACTCCTTTCATTTGCACTCAGTGCGGACATCAAAACCGTGAAAGAAATGTGTTCTGCTGAGCACTCATTTGTTTTCATGATTGCATGTCGTCGCAGCGGGTCAGAGTATCGGAGATACTAGAGTCACTAGAGTCAGTTGCCAATCTGCAGGAAGAGGTGAAGCGGGCTGGTGAGGAATCGAAGTGGTCGTTGTCTCGGTGCTCAATTGCGGCTTTCCGCATGACCCAAGATATCCCAAGATGTTTGCTTGCACTGGACAGATCTGGACAGATTGAGCGCACACAGGCCTGACCACCAGGCCTTCATTGACATCCTGAATCAAGTCGATGCTCAGAAGGCACACGTGTTTGGGGACCAGATGGAGTCAACAGCGGTTTGCGCATCATTCTTAATCTGCATGATGAGTCAGGGTGCAAGGTCGTACATGTTTAGCACAGGTGAAGACAGCATTCATGGCAAACAAGAACACAAAGCTGGCAGGGCAGCCGAGCCAGCCTTATCTTTGCTTGCTAGTGCAAGCAACGAGGGTATCTTGAAATGTTTGCATGCTGGAAAGACAGATGAAAAGAGATGAAGCAACAGTGAGCAAGGTCTTGGCTGCGCCTGTGCGACGAATTTGTGTTTGTCATCCTGCAGCTGAACATGAAGAGGGCCTGGAGCTTACACGTCACCGCGGGAGTTTCACAAAGTCAGCCTTTGGCAATGGCCGAGGTCACAAATGAGGAACTCAGCATGGCAAAAGCGTCAGCTGGAATGATGTCTGCAGCCAGGGCCTAGTCGTCACAGCGCAATGGCGTTGTTAAGTAGCTCACTACGAAATAAGCATTTGCACATGTTACATTGGTTTCTTTCGTTTCATGCGTCAGGCAGGACAGCAGGAGATGATTGCAAAGCTCGCTTTGCACCGTGACCGGCTCGGAGTGCAGCTAGAAGCCGTTGAATCCGAAGCAAGGCATGTTTGTTGGCAGTAAAAAGACGGGTTGCTTTGGCATGTAGATCATGCTGTCGGTGATGTCCACATTAGTACGGTATATGTTCTCTTGGTGGCAAGGCATGTCGCAGCTGAACATGCACAGCCAGAAGGCAGGGCACAGTCACATTTGGCAAGTTTGAAATATCACTATGTCATTTGTGTGAGAGATGCCAAACCCGCCTAGAGCTGGCTCGGCCCGGCTGTTTACGCTCTCGTGGCCTGGTAGGTGTTCATGAAACGCTTCAACTTCTTGTGGGCACGAGATGTGTCTACCGCTCTGACTGCCATAGAAGGCCAGAAGCAGCCACGACTTTGAGCTGTCAACGAGTTGAAGTAGGGATCATGGTGCGTTGGCAATGGTTTTTTCTGGGAGGCGTTGCACAAAGTCTGAAAAATAGCACGAAGAACGGCATGAACGGATCAGCATCTTGGACGCAAGTGCCGGCAATGCTGCAATTCATGTCAAGCTGGGACCCAGGAATGGCTTGAGGAGCAGATGCACAGCTACAAGGAGACGATGTGCATATCTTGTTTCCTTTCAGGCTGAACAGAACTGACCGAGTCACATTGAGGCGCACTGAGCCGCACTGCTTTGCAATGCAGGACAAGGTCATCCAAGGGACTCTTAGGGCTTTGCAGGACGGGCTTTGGCAAATTTCAAGCATGGAGCAGCAACACGTTCATGTTTTCCAGAGCTGGAATAGGCTCGGAGTGGCAGTACATTGACTTACATGTGCATTGATTCAATGAGTAGCATTGCGGTAGGAGAAGTTTGATGGGCTGTTTCCCGTTGACTTTGCTATCCTGCCACTTCCCCAGAGGCCATGCGTGCATGACCAAGCGCCCTAAACTTCAGACTGAACAGAGGCTAAGTTCGCTCGTATTGCCAAGGAATGGTCGATTTCCACTCAACGCGCAGAAGCTTCGGCGCCAGCACTTTGAGCGCTGCCCTCAGCTAGGTTGATATTCCACCTGGTGCAGCCTTTCCCTGAATACAATATGTTGCGTTTGAAGGCTTAGCCATGATTGGCATTCAGAATGCACTTGCAATCAAGGCTTCAGGCCGATGGCAAGTCTGTGCGGCAAAGGGATGCAATGGCGGACGGGTGAAACAGCCTGACAGTTTGAGCAGCAGAAACCTTTTTGTTTGCCACATCCATTCCTCTAGTTGCCCAAATGTCAGACACTTGAAAGGTTTGTTGCTATCACATGGCAGAGACGAAAAGTACAAGAACTTATGAGCCGGTTGGCAGGCTAAGTGATTACTTGAAGCATGTTTGCTCGAGAGGGTGCAGGTACTTGTTTCAATCAGAGAAGCTTATGAGGCGGTAGCTGTCAATTCCCGTTACTGGTTGTACAGAAATCTTTGCGGCCAAAGCTGGTGCGTCAGAGTCCATGTGCAGGAGATTCGGGACATGTGGGACACTCCCCGCTACAGCAAAATGCAGAGCGTTGTGGACGGTCTGGCCTGTTAAGACAAAGGCAATGTCAGAATGTCAGAGGAGTAAATCACCGGCTTGTCGGGGCCTTGGCGCATGCCAGGTCTCGGCCCCGGATGCTAAATCTGCGAGTGGCCCGGGAACAATTCAGCCTGCAGCTTAGATGGCCCTGTCACTTGATCGCAACTCATAGATTGAGTGAGCGGAGCCTTCAATGGGACAGTTGCAAATTGAGACATGAGCGCTCACATTTGTTCAGAATGCATCAACAACTAGTCAACTAAAAGTCAATCATGGGCGTAGTCTGCGCTGTACGAAGCCCGACAGATTCACGTTTGGTGACACGCGCAACACGACATGTCCTCTCAATTCTGCGACTGGTAATGGTCAAAGGCTCAGCGTGAACGGCACGATCAATGCCTATGAGAATCTGCAGGACAAGAAGTCACAAGCAGCAACTGGTGGTATCATGCAACAATAATTCGTTGCCAAGGGCTTGAGACTGGCCAAACCCAAAAAGAGTGAAGATGGTGCTGCATAATATATTGTACAACTATATATACATTGGAAAAAGCAAGCAAGCCTAGCCCCAGTCCCCATTGTCCATTTATGGGCTGATGGGCAAATACATTCCCCAGAATGGGCGTCGCCACATATCCACCCTCGTAAAATTAAAATGAACGGCTTTAGGCCCTGGAGAGGAACATTTCCTCTTTGGGCGTCTTGGGAGCTTCCACGTGAGCTGGAGGGTATGTGTTTGCGCTAGGCAAGTGCCGTCACTCGTACCCAGGAGCAGCGGGAGCGTGTGGAGCAGATTTTCAACTTGCCATGTGCGGGTCTTGCAACGCAATCGAGGGAACAAGAAAGACACTTGCTATGGTTTACTTGGAATTTGGATTGGTTTGGATGGGCTAGCCGGGCTAGGAAATGTTACCAGGTGTGGATCCACCACAGCCGGACTACGCGGGTGGAGCATTTCAGGAGACTGCACAGCGCGAAAACTGGATCGAGACGCAAAGGGATCTAGAGGACATCAACACAGCGTCGCTGCTGTGCAGAGGAGCTGTGCTTGAAGTTCTTCAAGGGCATCCATGTGGATGCGATCCACTTTTGCAGACCACGGCTAAAGGCCATCAATCCGTCTTTGCCAGGGGAGTATGTTTGCCAGCCTGCATCAAAGGAAGTGGCGAGAGCAAGGAACACAAGGGACAACAGAATGGATGGGGGCAAGCATCAGTAATCCCTTCCCCCTCATAATGAAACACCCCCCCCTAATAAATAAAAGTCCCTCCCGGCAAAGCAATTTTTATTATTAGGGGTCCCCTGGTTCTGGAGGGCAGGTTTTCTGGAGGGCAGGTTCTAGAAATGTGCTCCCGGAGCTCCGGCTTGAAACTCGTAACTTTGTAGCACGCCTGCAGTAAAGGAAACGTACTCCCAGAGCTCCGGCTCGAAAGACGCAACTTTGTAGTACGACCGTAGCGTACTCACGAAGCTCAGGCTCGAAAGTCGTAACTTTGTAGTACGACCGTAGTAAATTTACAGGAAACATACTCACGCAGCTCCGGCTGGAAAGTCGTTGTAGTACGAACGTAGCAAAGGAAGCATGCTCCCGGAGCTCTGGCTTGAAAGTTACAACTTTGTTGTACGACCATAGCAAAGGAAACGTACTTCCGGGTCCCCCTAATAAGGCTGGATTTGAGTACGGGCAGGAAAATGCCTACTTTGGATTTGGTTTAGTATTGGCTATTCTAAAAGTAGTATTCCCGGATTTGGGACTTCCGAAACAAATTTTATTAGTAGGGAGACCTTTATGAATAGAGGGAACGGATCAGCAAGAATTGTCACGCATGGCATTGCACGCAGCTTTTGTTTTGAGACATGCAGAGCTCACATATGTTAGGCAATGATGGCCAAGCTCTATCAGGAGGAGCACCTGAGAAGAGCGGGAATCCCAACGACTTGTCATATGGATACAAAATGCTAGCGGCACTTGAATCCCTTTCTATTGTAGTGAAGCGGTCGGAGGCTCTTCAAGAAAGCCCGGCATTGGACTACTTGAAGGACCGCGCGAGATTTTACTTGCAGGACACACATGTCGTTACTTGTTGCAGGACTTTGGCGGCCACATCCTGGAGAAACAGAAAAACAGGCCTTTCAGAAGTGACATCTCTTGCATGTGAATACTACGAGCACGGGTGCGACTGCAATGTGTTCTGCGAGAATCTGTTGTTAAAGCATGGTAAAGCATGGTATTGCTTGTTGGCATGCATTTTGTTTGCAAATCGTGGCAGGGTGGACAGCTTGAGGCACGGCCAGATACTGCAAGTATGCATTTGAGTGACATTTGCTTGAAGAAAACGAGTAGTAACCTTGAGGTGTTGTCTTCCTATTCTATGACAGGGCAGTTGCTTAAGGAAGGCGTGCTTGAAGCGTTGCCGCAGGTGTAAGCTCATGGCTATGGAGCAAACCATGAGAGAGACTGACCGGAATCGAGCCAATTCAGATTGGTGATGCCGCACGGATGGCCTGCGGAACTTCTGCCGGGCTCATGTTCTGCGGTTGCATCGCGAGCCATGCTAACGTCCGCGTGCTTGTGCACGGAAAATTGCCCATTTAAACTTTGCTGTGCGCACTGGCGGGATCAACGATCCCACTAAATTTGTGTGCAACTTATTTGCCGACCTTGCGGGCTGGTTGCTTGCTAGTGCTGACCTGAGATGGGGATTTGTTAGAACGCAGCGTAATGTCTCAACACCCTCATGCGTGGTTCCATCAGCTAAAGCACGCCCAATGATAATTGCGTGGCTGATAGGTGCAAGATGTTGGGTGGGCATGTTTGGCCAGGCTATTCAGATGGGCCTTGCCATAGCAGCTGTGTAGCCCTTTTGAGATGCTTTTCAGAATGTCAAGTTGTTTCAGCTGTTAGACCGATTTGGGAAGCGGGACAGGGCCGGCGGGCAAGCTTTTCCCAGCCATGTCGGGGTCTGCTTTGTCATTTGTTCAGACGAAGCAAAATGCAAGGTCAACTTTTGCAAATTTTCGATCTGGAGGCAATAGAGTTTTCAGGATACAGCGTGGGCGTCAAACGCTTAACCTGTGAAAATGTGCTGCGGAAGGCGCCAGCAGTTTGGATGCAGGCAAAGACGCCAATGAAGGTACTACTACTATACCTGCCTTTGATTGCCTTTGCAAACTTGCTGATTGATTTCGTGGCTCTTCGGGCAGCAATTGCGCACAGCATTGCCTCACAAAAAGTTGGACATCGCGCTTAGCAGACTATCCACTACCTTGTTCGCACCTATTCTAATGAATGCCATGCAGATGCTGTTTAGCCCGGTTTGTTGCCACTGCACGTCCTTGCGGCTTGCGCTGCCTGCCATTGACAAGGCCGCCATGTTTGCTGCATGCCGGTTTGCCTCTGGCAGCCACGGCACCGCTATGCCTCGATGGGCAGCTACTCAATGGACTAGTTCTTTGCCAAGGCCCGAAAAGAGTCCTGCTTACAGGATGTGTGTTTGCGTGCCGTTCTGTGCACTTGGGTTTTGTCGTCAAAGAAGTGTTTTTCGTTGTTTCAATGCTTGGAGGTGTGTTTTGATAGTCAGCGGTCATCTCAACATGAGAGGACTTCTCTTCGGCATCAGCGGCCAAGTATGTGGGCACGACTATCTTTGCTTGCACCGATGATAGTGCCACGAGCTCGCAGGCAACTGAGGGGCATTCACATTGGCAGTGTCCCTAGAACACGTCGAAGCGCGAGGGGGGTGGCGACACGCAGACCGATGTCGTCCAGACCAAAAACTATGAGTTCCGAAGAATATGCGCGATTGCCACCCTTGAGCCAAGATGGTGGCGATGAAGAAGCATTTCGAGAATACTGGAAATGGTTCAACGATCCTCAGTGCTGGGGCTCGTGGGTCGAAAGAAGGACGCATCCTCAAATCAGTGTTCGACCATTCTGGTATAATGTGGACACTGATGAGACGGTGTTTGACGCGCCACATCAAGAAGGGACTTCCTCGATGGTACGGAAAGAGTCACTGCAATTGGATGGTGTGATTGAGGAGCTCTCTGTCAAAGAGCTTCGCGCGACAATGCAGGATCCAGAACAGCTCCAACACCTAGGTCTCACGGATGAGTTGCTAGCTCGCCGTGCACTCTGGGAATATGAGACGTTTATTCCGCGAGTCTTATCCTGGCATGACTTTCAGTACAATACTTTTTGGTTCTTCATCTCGGACCGTGACCGCGGGTCAAACTCCCAGGAAAAGAGAGATGGTAAGCGTGGTTTTTTTACTGCAGAATCTGAGCAAAACAAGAAGATGTTCGCACATGATGGGTTCTTCAACGCTGTGGCTGAGCTTGCCAGCCAGCGCTTAGACTGTATGCATCCCATCAACTTGGTATATCTTTTGTGGACGTTCACTCGCGCAGGTGTCCCAGCGCGCGATTTCTTTAGCCAGGCGGCGGATCATTTCTGCAACGGGAGGTTGCCTACCTTGGACCGCTGCGGTTTGGGTACCTTGGTCTGGTGCTACTCCAAGCAGCGTCATCGTCACCCCCGGCTATTTGACCGGGCCGCGAAAGAGCTGCAGCGAAATGTGCGAGTGAGGTCGTTGGCACCCAGGAACTTCCAGAACACGATGATTGCCTACAGGCAGGCAGAAACAGCAGAAGGAGGGGGAATGACTGAAAACGTTTTATCTTTTTAGGAGATAAGAATTGATGGACTGGATTTGGATTTGGTTGCAACGCTGGTCGACTCGACTTGACCCAGTGGAATTTGGCAGGAAGGTGTGCTCGGAACCTCTTTAAATCTCGCAGTGCGCACCGATATTGAATGTGTTTGACTTTCCTTCTGAGTCATGGACTTCTTTATACTGAGTTTCAGCATTGACATGATATGATGCTTCAGCGGTTGGGGTCTGGAAGGTGGTACGGAAAAGGCCACGAGCCACTCATGGAGAAGCTGGCTGAGTGGATGCCTCGTCTTTTGGATGATCATGATGAACGGCGGCCAAAGTTGAGGCACACGCAGCTGGAGTGAGAATGTTTCTCTTCTCAGTCAAAGACTAAAGGTGCCAGGAGTGAAGGAAGGCACTACAAGGTGTTGAGATGTGTTGCGTTTGCTCTTGCAGCACTCGCTGTTCGTTTGAGAGGCCGGAAGTTATGTTCTCTTACACCTGCAAAGATGGCCGGCCCGCCTCGGAGTTGCTCAAGACCTAGCAGCTTCGTGAACTCATGTTGCCCGCCTGCCATGCCTGTCATGCCTGCCAGGCTCAGTCGTCCCAGCAGATTCCTTTCGTATCAACGGCCAGTTGCTTGGAACGGGCTCAAGGTGTGTGATGGCCTGCCTGTGGCATTTGCAGGTCTCAACATCATTGCGCGCGGCTTCGTGAACCTTGATGTGTGCACGCCAAAGGTGGAGGCAAGGTCACGCGACCCATAGCATGAGGATTGGTCATGTTACTTGCGCTGCAACTCAAATATGTTGCTTAGCTTGATCGGGATTCTTTGCATTGGGTGCTGCTTGTTGCTCATGGGCAGGCATGCCTCGAATCAATCACTGACTATGTGATTCGAAGCGCCAAAAGATCTCCTGTGGGAAGCTCAGAGAGCCTAGGACAGCCAACGTGTAGCACGGGCCGTTCTACTGAGGCGTGGATGAGAACGGAAGGGGATTTATGCGCTTTCACGACAGTCATTGCCGAGGCTACCACAGCTGCCACTGTGTTCATATTCGGCACCAAAATTCTGATTTGTAAGGACTCATGGAGATTTGTCACCAAGCACCTGCTGAAAACACATTCAGTCCAGTTGCCATACTTGTCCTGTGAGCTTGGTTGAGTTGTTAGCTTGATCGGCATCCTCCGTAGCTGTGCACAGACTCATGCAGCAAAAGGCCCGCGGTCTGAGCATTGCCTGCTTTTGCTTGCTTTCTTACTGCCCCCTAATTAGGGTTTTGCTCTTTTTGGGGTGGCTGCTTTTTGGTTGGGGGTGTTTGAGCTCGCTCCCATATTGGTAGCGGAGCAGGGTGTTTGGGGTTCTTAGGCTGCTTGCGTGAGCCCCGATGCCTGCTGCCAGCGGCAGCGATGGGACTGCCGTCCCGGTGCTGGGGGAGGACCCTTGCATGGGCTCACAGACGCCTGGAGCGGCCGCGCCGCTGGAGGTGGACAGGTCCCTGACGTGCCGCAGCCAGCAGCTGGTCATCAGGTTTCTGGAGAACCGCAGCCGGCGGCTGCGAGTGGCGGACATGTTCCTGGAGGAGATGAGGTGGAGGGCGAGCAGCCCACCGAGGGCGAAGAGAGCGCCTCGCCGTTGACAGAGGCGGGGGTCGTGTCAACACCGCCTCAGAGAGGCGGGAGTACCGCGTGGCAAAGCCCAAGAAGTACCTCTGAGAGAGCGGAAGTACCAAGGGCAAGAAGAAGACAGAGTGCCAGGTGCTGGTGAGGGCGCCGCCAGAGGCCGCAGCAGTTGATGCAGATCGCGAAGCACTTCCGGAAACACCGTGGCTGTGGCACCTTCGTGTGGCAGAGGGCGGCGTGAGGGAGCTGACTTTTAGCCGGAGCACCTTCACCCTGCTGGACCCGGAGGACAAGCAATATGCTGCCTACATGTACATGATGGCCTGCGTATTGGCCAGGAAGAGGAAGCATTATGACGTCCGGCGGGGCTGAAGGAGTGCCGCCGGGTGGTTATGCAGCTACGCTGGCCGGCGCAACACGTCATGCCCGAGTTCCTGCCGCGCACCGGGTCAATACCGCTCGGGTCGGGTGAAGGACCTTCGTCAGGCCACTTGAAAGAGATGAAGGAAGCAGCAGCCGAGAAAAAGGCGGTGATGGATACCCCGCCTCAAAGGCGAGCCAATGTTCATTAGCTACCTCGATGCCTCCCTCGGCACAAGGAGCAGGACGTGCGCAGCCAGATGGGGTCGGTGCATTTTGTGATCGGGCGACCCAGCAGCATGGCTGCCGAGGCGGCCGCTATGACGGCAGCCGCCGACCACCAGCTCTACAACAGGCTGCTGCGGCAGGCCCTGACCATGGGCTACATGGAGGTGTTTCCTGATAGACGCGAGGAGCTTGTGCGACCACGTTGCTAAGCTGGGGCACCTGACGGCGGAGAGGCAGACGGCGCTCGACTTGCGCCTCACGAAGCAGCAGGTGGAAGACGGCGCCGTCGAGTTGCGGCGCCCCACATTTTTATTTGCATTTACTGACTCCATGACCAAAGAAATGGTCACGGGATCAGTTTCGCCTGTCCAGGAGCAGGCGGGCGCTCTGTCTGAAACAGGCAGAGGAAGATGAGGAGCTTGAAAGGCACCGCTCCGCGCTTCGCAAGGGCCAGCGCGAGCGGCGCAAGACCCGCGTGCAGGCTGCTGGGGTTGCGGATCAACATTCTTTTCCTTCGATGTGAGCTTGTTAGCTTGATCGGCATCCTCCGTAGCTGTGCGCAGACTCATGCAGCAAAAGGCCCGCGGTCTGAGCATCGCCTGCTTTTGCTTGCTTTCTTACTGCCCCCTAATTAGGGTTTTGCTCTTTTTGGGGTGGCTGCTTTTTGGCTGGGGGTGTTTGAGCTCGCGCCCATAGTCCTGCAATGAGAGGAATGCGCAGAAATAGCTTGGCAGGCATTCTTCTGTTGAATGGCAGAGCTGGTTAGAGCGCTCAAAGCCAAAGGCAGAGGTCCTCAAACCATGGCGCGCGAGGCAGTTGTCAAGGGCTGGACCTGCGCGCCCAAGTTGCTCAAGCAGCTTGAGGCGGGCGGGCCGAGTACCAACACTAGGTAGTGTTACTTGGCAAGCGTGCGACATACTACTGAAAAGCGTGTTTGTGCTAGCAAGCGCCAAGTGTCCAGTGATTGCTCTGATAGCCCCGAAGCAGGCTCAAAATAAAGTAGGGGTGGGTCGGACCCGAAAATAAGTCATGTATTTTAATTTAGTCCACCCCCTTTTTTGATGCGAAATCATTTTGGCCTCTCTGAAAATCCCTTCAAAGTTGGACTGAACTCATTTCAAATTAACATGAGTTGGACTCCCCTCGACTTTATTTTCATAGGAAATAAAATGAAGTACGTTTTGTCCAACTCGGACTATTCAAACCAACCCCCAACATGAGGTCAAAATAAATCGTGATTTTTCAATTTTATTTGCTGTCAGTGTTGGACTATTTCATTTTATTTTCCAACCAGGTTGGACTGACCCTATTTTATCTGATAAAATGGGGGGGGGTCCAACCCTGTTTGGAACCTCTAACGGGGATCTCTGATTGACATTGGATACCCCAAAACAACTGCATGCCCCTCAAGCCAGATCGCAGGAGGATCAGTGGTGTGTGTGTGTGTGTGTGTGTGTGTGTGTGTGTGTGTGCGTGTGCGCCGTGTCCCTGGTTTTCCCGGAGACCGAATCCCTTGTTTTTCCGCGTTGGAGTCTGGAGCAAAGCTGACAGGGTTTCGATGACCCAACTCCCTAGCAGCGGGTCGAAACTCCGCTTCAGGGGCTGATCGGGACGCACTGGTCACAGCTGGTAGCCCAATTCTTGGATAGCTCGACGACGTTGTTTAGTTTAGGGCCCCCGTCAAGCCCTCATGAGGAACTTTACTCGATTCGACCTGCCTTACTCGACTTTGACTGGCTTCCTCCCTCGGTGTACCCTCGGTGTTAGCCAACGCAGAGAAGAAGCACTCGACATTGCGCAATGACACCCTTGTGCGATTGGCATGAAAGCTTCGAGAGAGAGGTCAGCAGCCAGAGCCTTCATGACAGGCTCAGCCGGCCTTGGTGCGGAGGGGAGCCAATCAGCGTGAGCCCGCGTCTTGGGTGGGAAGATTCTTGCACTTGCCAACAGACCGGTTCGCCTGCACTCCTTGCTTGCTTAGTCAACGTATTTGCGTCGTGCAGCAGTACCTATATGCACTTCCCGGACTGAGGATTACTGCCCTGCTAAACTGTTCTGGTTCGTATCTAGGAAGTGATACGTACTTGGTCTTATGTATTGCCCTCGGCAAAAGTTCCGCGCTGGGCTTCATGAAAGATGTTGCGAAGGTTTCGTGTAGGGGGCTTATGGTCAAGGACCCCAAGACGTAAGATGCACAGCTTCCGTGGTGCTTGGTTCAAACATTGTAGCCACAAGAGCCAAACATGTAAGCTATAGTCATCTAGCAGCCGCAAGAGTTTCCCGAAAGTCCAAAGACCTGGCTGCCAGCATCCGTATTCTGAATGCTACGATTTCATTGGATATGGATACCTGTGATTTTCGAGCTGGAGTTCACACACTGACATGATAGTCAACAACTGTGATTTCCAGCAGCAGCTGCCAACGTGTACTTCGCGTACCATGCTTGAACTGAACTCTGCGATGCTTCAGCTGGAGTTTTTGAAGTGAGCGGCAGAAGGCCTTGTGGTTTTGACAGCTGATGAGTGCATGTTTGCAAGTAGCAACTGTAAAGACAGCTCAGCGGCTGAGTGGCGCACCTTTCGCGAAAATGTTGTTCCGGATGATGTCATTTGCACGCCATGCTTCTTCCTCCGTGATGGTTGACAAAACAACCTGCCTTCAAGAAGCCATTCGGCTAACCATCATTCGGCTAATCTTGCCAGTCAAAAAGCAGAGATGGGTCAGCCACCCATGCGGGCGGGACTGTTGCTTTCCACTAAGGCTGTCCCAGCTCGAAAGCATGCTCGAGCGTGCCCAGATGCAACAAGCTCAGATGTTGTTGCCGACGCGCTTGTCGCTTGCCATTTAGATCCCAGGTCTTTGGCGGGATGAGTATGATAAGAAAAGAGTGCGAACACGACCCTTAGCTGCTTTCATTGAGCAACGATGTCAGGAGTGGGCGGCATTCGATCACTTTGCAGTAGTTGCAAGCTTCTGAGTTTCAGCGGCTCAGCACCATTTAGAAGCCGCACATGATAAGAGCACGGCGATAAAAGTCCAAGAACAAGCTGGGTCACCATCAACATTTGTCAGATTGAGTAGACTCTAATGAGAAAGAGACCTGCGGAATGGGGCACACCACTTCAGTACAGGCCTGGACCGAGAGTGGAACCGACCGGGTTGGGAAAGTAGAGGAGGTGTTGTAGCGGCTAAAGCCCACCATTGGGACTTGACAACTAGCAAAATATTACGCATGCTATTCCTTGAATTGCTGAGACAGGCGGATGGCAAGGACACGGAGCCAAGGCACAGTCGTTGCTTTCGAATCTGCAGCCAGCAACAGCCCAATTGGTGTGATATTAGTCAGTTTTGAATCTTGCGCGCGAGAAGCAAGTGGGAAAGGGGTTTAAACAAATTGGTCAAGGCTATGCTCGGCAGTGACGCCATGATCGATCGGCTGCCCAACTTGCCTTCGTCAGGACGTTTGGATTCACTCCTGCCGAGTATGCCCAACTCGTGAAGTCACTGTCCGTCGATGAGTCGAGGCCTTGATTCTTCAATTAAATTCACAGTTGTGTCAGCCAGCTGGATATACTGCCGGCATCGCGCCGAGCACATTGCACATTAGCACCCACCTCTCTCGCGTATCGACTTGTCGGCGGGCTCTCAAGCTGTTTGCAATCCCAGGCAACGGAACAGGGTGGAGCTTGGACATTTCGCACCTGGGATGCATAAGGGGGGGAGAGGGAGGGATAGAGAGAGAGAGAGAGAGAGAAAGAACGAGAGATCAAGCGGTGACCGGCTTGGACATTGGTGGAATCTTCATAAGGTGAGCTGCTTTCCCAGCTGTTTGCGTTCCAACCTTGGGCGGATGCCAGCAGCGGGGCCTTGTGCAACACCCAAGGTGAATCAATTCGATTCAAGGAACCAACATTGAGGGCTAGTGGGTGCAATTAAAGAGTTGCAAAGCTTCCGATCCAAATATGGCGAGTTCAAAGATAGCCATGCTGCACTTAGGTTCTTTGGTGCAGCCCTTGTTTTTCCACCTCTCCAAGGACTGGACAAGAGACTGCTGGCAAGACAAGTATGAATAAGCTTTAGACCGAACGTTGCTAGGAGCGCCTTGGCGAAGGATCAGCAGATTGGCCCACCTCCTGGTTTGGACAGTAAATCAACTGGTTGCGAGACATTGAACTCTGACATGAAACCAATGTCTGGCAAGGGACGGAAGGGACGGAAGGGATGTGCTCCATTGCGCCAACTTTGGGCGCCTTGGGGCCTCGGGGCCAGGTCATGCCTCGCTGAAGGCCTCTCCAGAGTCATCAGATCAGGCTTGCCATGGCCAAAGCCTGAGATTGAAAGAAGCCACAAAAGAAGCTACGAAGAACCCCGTTAAAGTGTTTCAACAGCACGAGTGTTGACATGTCGTGTGAAATGCCAAGGAGAGATGTCTTGGAGGCGTGCGTGTTCTTCGCCAGTTGCGAGTTATTGCACAAGTGAATGTGCAGAATCAAGAGTATCTCCCTTTGGCGCGATGTCAACATGGATTGGCGATGGCAGTCTCAGGTATGGGCTGATGCAGAACAACAGGCGCGGGGCGCCCAAAAGCTCTTGATTGTGAGAAGATACATGAAGATTCTGTTTCCACAGTGGGCTTACTGCCTATATGAGCGCAGGACGCCGCGGGTCCAGGTGTCCCGGAGGCAATCAGATGTTCCAATAGTTCTAATACTGGACTCGAGGGCCGGCAGATTTGCGGTTTTGGCTTCTTTGCCGCATCGGAATGCCTCTGACACGGTGCACGTGGCGCCAGTTCTCCCAGGTGCTGACGAGCCGGAGTCCTGGCACTGCGGGTGAAGTCAGTTGGTGAACTTTGATTGAGACGCGTCGGGCGAGCGTATTGGTTTCGGTAGACAACCCGGGTAGATGAGCAGTGCCAGCCCAAAATAGGTGCGGCCGCCCTTTGAATTCTTCGCATTTGTTTGGGTAGACCCTTTTAGTACCAGGGTTTAGTTCCTCAATAGCCAGTGTCCTTGGTTCCTGTTGCAAGCGGCTTATGGAAGCCATGAGGTTGGAGCTGTATCTGGAGCTGGCTGTGTCATTGAAGCACGGGCAAGTTTGACAGGATAGCAAAGAGACAAGCTAAGTGGCGATGAGTTTGTCAGACCGGTTGGACCCATTTGCTTTACAACCTGCAGTTTGCTCGGTTCTCGCAAATTTACTGGCCAGGTGCTTTTGGTCTGCATTTGCAGACCGATCTTCTGATTCTCCAGAGGCAGGTATGCACAATGACGCATCAGGCGCCCCCACCATCAAGTCATAATTTTGAGGCCTTGGGTCCGGATTTGGCGGCTGGGAACTTGGACTGAGAGAACTTGACAACAAGCTCATAGTGTCATAGAACAACAAAAATGATGATTGTTCATTGTGTTCAGATTCCGAGTTTGTCCCCTGCACTTTGAGGTCGCTGCTCTTCACGCCAGCGTTCCGCGGGATTCACTGGCAGCAATGGCGTCCTGGCTGGAAGGCGCCAGCCCAACCGCGGGTTCCCGATGCGCTGCGAGAGTGCAGGCAACGCTCCAATGCTGCCGGCGGCTGTTGGGCCAAATCTGGCAACCCTGACTGGTGGTGCCAGGATCTCGGGGTGGGCACCACAAACGAAGCAGACACCAACAAATAAATCAGAGTGCCAAGAGCGCTGGCTGCCGAGATTCGAATTGAGGAGTAGGTATCTCAGCGGGAAGTGTTGTCCAGGCATGCCGAAACTGAGCTGTGCTACCAGGTGAAGCAAGAACTGCCGCTGTTCGAGAGCCACATTCTGGAGGCCTGTGTACTGACGGTATAAGCATGAAACTGGAACTGGAAGGCAAGCTTGCAGCTGAGCTGGCCTTAGCGCACGGAGAGGTTGGAACCCTTTAGTGAGATTCGTGCTGTAACTGCAACTTTCGAAGGTTGCTGCGCAGCTGCAGCCCAAGGCTATGGGAGTCATGGCCGCAGCTGAGGGCTATGTTTTTCCATGCGGATGAGCATTTTGCGAGGTCGGAGGAGTGGATGCCGTTGTTCCGAGACTGGCGAGATGGCCGTTCCTTCAACGCTTTGCTCAAGGCAGGGAGCAAAGACCGAGACCGAAGCAGATGGTAGCAGACCAAAATCTGTATACTCGCACGACTCACACTCTTAGCATGTCCACAAACTAAATGCTCGTGTCCTGCGTTCGCCATGCCAGGGCGCCTTGTACTACGAGGGTCCTGCGATACTGCTCATCCAGACGCAGCAGGGCCATGTTCTGGGTGCGCTGTCAACGTCAAGCTGGCACACTTTCTGACACTCGCCCATGCTTGCTTTCGCTCGTTCACTTCGTTCACTTGCAGCTTTCTGACCCGGGCTTTGCAAGGATTTTCCTTGCCAGGGTTTGGATGGACAGCAACGGAAAGTTTTCCGGCTCGACGGAGTGCTTTGTGCCCGCAGCTTGGATTGCGATGCCAAAGTTCATTGCCAAAACCGCTAAACCTCGGGACCCTGAGGTTTGCTGTGCAGCCAGCTTTCAGAATGCACGGCTTTCAGACTAGTGTCAGAGGTTGGGCTCAGCGCAATGCAGTGGAGTGACTCAGGTGCAGGAGTACCAGCACAGCAGGGAACCACTTCTACCTGAACTCGTCCGTACCTCTTCTCCAGCTGTTGTTTTGTGGCAAGCTGTTTGCATTTTTTCCATACCATGGTGCATGGAGGCGTGCTGTCGCTTTGCCAGAGCTTGTTTATCATGTTTATACATGATGCTTCGAGTCGCAAGCTCTTCCGAGGCGCAACAAGTATGCCCCACGTGGCGTTGGCTTCGGCGGACAGGTTGGCTTCTGCAGGCCACGCGGGTTTGGCCTTATTTCTTTTTGTCAGGGATTGTCCCACGAAGATGTTGGGCCATTGGGATCATGGGTCTTAATGAGACCTCACAGCACATGAAGACTGTTTGGCAAGGCTCTGGCTTGATGCCGACTTCGAAGAATGTTACGTCCTCGAAAGCGATGCCACCTATGCAAAAGGTTTGCCAGACACCCAGCCACAGTGCTGCTCGCGTCTTTTGGATCTTTTGGCACACTTCAACTTTGTTGCAAAGCAACAATTTCGATGTGACCAGCCAGGATGACTTGTTGGTGGTTTTCATGGCTTATTATAATGTATCGCCTTGGGGTCAGATAGCGCAGCACAATTTTGCTAAAGGAAAACCCTGTGAAACATGTTGAAGTTTGACCGGAAATTGCCAGTGCGCTGTGCCTCGGAGAGCTTCCGGGAAGGCTGCTGCCATCCAGCGGAAGCCTTCAGATCTCCTTCCAGGTGGCCGCCATTGAGGCGAAATCCGCTTGTGGCACCACAGTCACCAGATGTCTTACACGTCGTTTGTGGAACATAGGAACGATGTTCCTACAGAGAGGAGAGCCCCAAGACCGATGACCTATTGGAAACAGTTGATTTCGAATGCATTTTAAACATGGCCCGTCGAATTCACTGAGACAGAGGTTGTTTTATGTTGTTTTGGCTTCACAACAGCCTGGATGCAGCCAGCCTGTCCAGGTTTGGGGCTGTGGTGGGCCTGAGGCACGCGCTCGCGCATGTTTGAAGCATTGAGCCAAAGGGGCTGAGGCCAAACCTGAGTTTTGACGGCAGGCCGCACAAGCGCAAAGGGCGCACCGGGAGCGCATTGAGGGTGTGGGTGACTCAATGACTTCAGACCTTTGCTATGCACATCTTTTGTTTTGCTGGCCCAGGTTCGCGAGCAGGCACGGAAGGCCCGGCATTGTGTGAAGTACATTGACCAGTTTCAAATGTTCAAATGTTCGGGACGTGGTTATGCTTTCCGTGTTGGACAGGTCGACAAAGCGCGACTCTGTGAGAATGACTTTGACAAGGAAATGTGCCACACTCAACAAGATCGGCAGCCCAAGGGCTGTGCGGACACGCGTTTTGTTACGCAACCCTTTTGCGCTTCAACAGGGCAACCCAAAAGTCCACCATAGCTTTGTACGGCTTGACAGCTATGGCACATGCAACCCGTCTTAGGTTTTTGGGCAATACGTTCTCCGCAACAGCGGGCTCCCGCGCAGATCCCAAGGAGGCGAGCAAAGAGATGCTGTGATCCTCTTGTCCAAGCATTTCCTGACAGCAGAAACCGAGTTCTGTCTGTCTGAGGACAAAGAGCGTGCGGCTGCTGATTGAGCATGGGGCTTCTGAAGCCAGAGTGCCCTGCATCTCCAGATCACACCTAGTCTTACCCGCCTCAACGTACGATTGCTGCACGCACAAGTGTGTGATGAATAGACGACCGGCGTCACTACCCAAATTGGACAGCGGCGACGCTCTAAACAGAAACTGGCCAGATTCAGAGGGCCTTGGGAGAAGGCTTGAACATGAACATGAACGGGGCCACCGAAGGTTTCGTAGGACTGGAATGAATAATCGCTGTGATTGCCGGGGAGAAATGTCAGAAACCAAGACCCACAAAGAACGAGCCTTGGCGCGCGATGCAATGTGTGTTTTGGCCACCAGCTATTCAGAGCTACTCCCTGAACTGTGGTGTCTTTGGGCGCGAGGCAGAAGGCATTTCTGGAAGGAGTTTGCAGCAATCCTCATCAGATATATGCCCAGCCCAGCGAGAACGCACACAAGCAAAAAGCTGTCAGACAGAATGTGCGTGGATGCCGCAAGATGGAATCGGGTCAAATGCAGACTCGCGCAAAATTCGCCTCTCTGCTGGTGCCTTGAAATATTGGGCCTGGGCGCGGCTGCCGCAGCGTTTGCGGAAGCAATGTCATAGAAAGCTCAATCGGTGCAGTGGACGGTGGCCTGGTGATGAGCATGGACCTTGGGATGTTTAAATCGAACTCCAGATGGGTCTGATACACTTGAGGCACGCACGGAGGGTCCAACGTTGCAGCTGGCCATCAGTATGCTTTCAGCATCGGCTAGGTTATGCAACTCTGGTGTGATCGACCTGGGCATGGCAAGGTCAGTCCAATCGCGTTGCCCCAGCAACCTCTTCGACTCTAAAAAGATATAAAAAAATCTAAAAAGATCTAAAAAGGACAAGTTCTCTAAGGACATGAAGTCAAAGACGGCACACCCGGCACGGCACACCCGGCACGCCCATGGCTCCTCTCTGAGGCTCGGCATGGCGCTGCTCGCTCCTGCTGCTTCTCAGGTCCGTTCCTAACCGAGAAGCAAGTGATCTATCCATGGCATGTGCAGGTGCGTCTCCGGACAGATCTACACCTTGGAGAAGGACCCAAGCAAATGAGCAACCTTGCATATGGGATGAGTGTCGCGGAATGCAGATGGCTCTTCCTGATCCGCGCACCTTGCGTACGCTGTATGCATTCTACGTCCTGATCTTGGAGTCAGCACAGACTGGTGTCCGCAGTAGGCAAATACGTTACTCATGGTTGCAAGAAGATCCCGCTGACGTAGCTGCTGCCGTCAGGTGTATTCTCATCAAGATGCCCCGGAGAGGAGACTATGTCACAATGTGCGTGAGTTGCTATTTCCTTCGCTGGTTTGCGTGGATTCAATGCCAGTAGATGCCTCATTGACCAGAGACATTCGGCAACAATGGTGATTTTACCCCCATGTGCACCTTGTTCTGCGTCCTGGCCAGCCACTGCTGCCTAGAAACTGGGTATTTTGTGTAAGGCTTATTTGCGTATCTACATGCAGGAATGTCGGGCAGCCTTTCGTGCAGTTCCACAACTTGATGCGCGCTTCCAAGAGTGCGAAATGCATAAAAGTTATGTCCCAGATTGAGACCTAAGATTCTGTGACAGGTTCACTACATCTGACCCAGCAGATGCAGAGAAAGCCAAGAATTATGGTGTGCGACTCCCAATCGGCAACTGGATGTTTGCTTACACGACGTGAATTCCAGTAGCTTTGGACCTTTGATTTGCTCGATGTGGTTGGGACTGCTTGGGTTGTCGCTTGCAGGGAATCCAGCTTAGCATCCTCCCGTACCGCAGTTTCTGGAAGCTTATTTTACCGCCACAGCCGAAGCTGCAATAGAGGCTTGAGTTGTCTCTGCATTACATATCCGATGTGCTAAATGGTGCAAGCCCTTGAGCACTGGGATCCAAGGGACAAGTTCTGCTCTTCAAGTGAAGATGCCAGCTTCTCAGCTTAGAGCTCTTGAAGGCGCCTAACTCGAGGATGCGAGTGTGTGTGTGTGTGTTAGTGTGTCGCTCAGCCAGCACTGTTCGAGGTGAATTCTGGTGTTGCAAGCGAAGCAGACAAGCTGCTCTTTGTGCCTGTTTATAGCCAGCAGTGCACATACACATGGGACGGCCAGACCCGAATAGCATAGCAGACCCAAAGTGAGCTGATTCACGGCCAGGTTGGTACAGAAGGCCAAGGGTGTTGCCGATGAAGATGTGAATCTGTGCGCAGCCGCATTTTGCCAAGGGTTATTTTGTGCTTTCTACCATGCAGCACGGCTGTTGCAGGTATTCGCACACCGTGAACTTTGCCACTTCCACAGACCACCAGGCTGGCAGTTGACAAAGCGAAGCTTTCGCTTGTCGTGTCATTGAAGGTGCCAATTCTCTCCACCGGTGTGTACATTCTGGTTTTCTCCAATTGTGGAGAGTTGAAGGGCGGCGAGGCCAATCACCGAACTTTAGCTGGGCTTTCAGTGGTGATTGATTTTGCAGCGTGTGGCAGCGCTTGACTTTATTTGCTGGCGTGCATGACTGCGAGAGCTTGTGTAGTAGAATAAGAATGTGTATTCCTGTTGCCTCCTGGCCTTGCTGCACACAACTACGGTTGCAAATATGCTAGCGGCTCATACTGCACGTTGGTTTTGTGCAACAATGTTTGACCTCGCCAACAGGTGAGCGGCAGCATCATTGCAAGAAATGCATATGGCTTCCTGCCCGGCAATGAGCAACTTTGCCAAAGAGATGTTGGTCATCATCAGCAGTGTCAAAGGTTCCCCAGCTTGAGTGAGCAAGATAGTCGCCTTGGCAGCCAAGGTACCACAAGTTGCCATTCTACGGCTGGCTTTCCATCGCCTGATGCCCGGGAATGGCAACTATCATTTCATCACTCAAAATGCAAGAGTCATGATATCGAGGCCTACAGCCTCATGGCTATGACTTGGATGTGTCTCTCCCTCCGATACTGGCGCGAGCTCTTCCACATCCAGCAGCAGCCTCAATGATATGCACAGGCTGAGCGACTTTCTCACATTCACAAGCTTTGTTGACCTTGCTTGTTCTGATGACCCCAGGCAACGTCTGGTGTCGTGATTTCAACTCTAAGGCAACTGGTTGGTTTTGATTTGTCAATTTGCTTTACAAGGCTCAAACTCTTTGAGAGACGCAACTTAGAAAGCCGGCTCAGAGCAAGTGGATTGGTATGCAAACAGTGTTGAATCGAACTCTGAGAGAGAGAGAAAGACTGACAGGCAGAGACAAAGACGAAAAGACCAAGAGATGGAGAGGGAGAAATTGAGGTATTGTATTGCAGCCGTCATCCTGCTTGGCTTGGTGCGCCCGTGCAAATGCCCAATATACTGACTGCGTGATGTTGCTTAGCAGAATTAAACTTGCCAGGTAGAAGCGTTTCTACAGTGGCGATTCTTTATGGACTTCAACGAATCAGGACTTCGTGGCAGGCAGCGGTGCATGCAAGTTGTACGTAGCAGCGCCAGCACTGCCATGTGGGCTTCCACTGCAGGTTCTTGTTTGTTCTCGCCATTCTAGCGACTGTGGTGAAGTGCTGGCCTCTGACAAGAGCAGATTTTCGTCATTTTACATCGCTTGAGTGCTCTCATAGAGTCATAGAGCTTTTATCGATGCCGAGTTGCTTGTGCTCCAAATGCAGGTCCATTTTCTCTTACATGCTGGTGCTCGTGGCCTCCTTGGGATGGGGTGTCACCCGGCCATACCTGGATCAGCCAACTATCCTCAAGGCGCCGTGGAAAATGGGCGAGCAGATCGGGCCTTTGCTTGCAAAGGTTTGGACCAAAAAGGCCCGCTCAAAATATGTATGGTCCCATGCACTGAATTTACTGCAAACAACGTGGGACTCAGACACACTCTTTTTGACCATGGCTGATGTTGACAACAGGGCCTAGCATTTACTGTGCTATGTTGGTATCAGCCGTTCAGTGTTGACATTAGTGGGCAGGGGAAGCGCAGGAGTGCAGCCATGATTCAAGTGCTTCACGATGTTTAGTGCAGTCCATTTAGGTCAACTCATGTTGGTTTGTGTCCTGCTTTGGCAAGGCACTTTTGCATGCCAACGATTTGAGCACAAGAGTCTATCCCGGCTCTGTCAGGTGCAAGCGCTGTCATTCTTCTACATTGTGCTGGACTTTGTGCGGGAGTCTGCCATGTCGTTCAGGTGCATGGTTACATTGACATGCCAACTTCCCCTTCGTTGTATTGCGCAATTTGTATGTACTCAATAGGGGTTGTCTGATGTAAAGGGTTCAGTTGGGCATTTCACTGGGCTTGTCGCGGTTTCGGACTCTCTTCTTTCAGGAGGGGCAATGCGGGAATCAGCGTACACTGATTCTGACTGAATGATTTGGCAGGCACAGCCACTCTTTGTCAGTAGCCTTTGTGATGCTTTGCCTACTTCCGGCCTGGGCCTCAACCGACAATTGCAAGCAGCAAAACTTGCCTGAGATAATTTCAGAGCGATTTGGGAGCATTCTTGAATGGAAACCAGTGATGCAGAAGCGGCAGCCTGCTCTGTGCATGAAGGGCGGCATTTGCATAGTTTTGCTTTAATGGTATAGACCTTGTACGGACATTATACAAGACACACGGCAACAATTTGAATGGACACGGCTTCGAGTCAGGTTGCTTTGCTGAATGGCCGGCTTCTTGGAAACTTTGACCGTGTCTTTGTCTTTTGAGCTTGACGTGTTGTTCCCACTTGGACCTTTTGTAGTTGTTTTAGGTGTTATTTTCTATTGGATATTTGCAGCATTGTCCGATCCTCAGACTCCCGCGTGATATCCTCGCTGGGGTTCAAATGCGTACTGCAGGTCATCATTGATTGAGACGCTTGCAGAACGGAAGCAGCAAGAGAAGTACGCCCGGCAGAGTGTTGCCCCAACCAACAAGAATTCCCTGCCCACTGTTTAGCGCAGGGTAGTCAATGAAGGTGGCAACGCAATGGTCGGTTTTTCTTCTCAGTGCACCAGCACTTCCCGGCTGGCACAAATGGCTTTGGCTTGCTGCGCATTCTGCCAGGCTCATACTGTTTCAGCGATTGCAGCTCGGCCATGCTGTGAGTTCAATCCAATACGCGTTTGACATGTGATGTGTGGGCCCTTGTAGACGCCATGGAGCGCGCGGCCTTTTTGCGGGTCCATCGCAGAATGATTGCACTTAGTATGTGGGCATGATTCCATCCAAGGTGGAACATTCTTGTGGCGTCGTTAAGCTTGGCATCGCTCAGCTTGCTAGATTCCGAGAGCCGGTAGCATGAGTTTAACGCATTGTTGAGAATCAGTCAATTTTGCAAACGTTTGACCTGAAAAAGCATAGTCCACAGGCTGTTCCAGCTCTACGACGTCTCCAGGAGTGATAGCCAGAGATGGCATTATCAATGGTTCCTTTCCGATGGTGTTTCGCACATACTTTTCTGCATGGTGCCCCTTGTGCTTGCCACAATTGAGTCACTTCAAGCCTGGTCTCGCACCAAAGCTGCGATTCTTTGGTGTGAAGTTGCCATTTGGCAGATTCTCCAGGTACTGGCAGCTATCATGTTCCTTTTCGCGCCCCACACGAACAGCCAAAGATACGCTTACAAACAGGCCTACCGCACGGTCAAATTTGCTTGGCTCAGAAGATGAGGTTGCTGTGCACAGGTTCCGGGGGTAGGGGTTGCCACTTGTAGTGCTGAACAGTCAAAGTGGAATTATAGTCAGACTAGGGCAGGAGTCTTGCAATGGGAAGCTCAGCGGCCTTGAACAGGTGGAGCCGGACGAGAAGGGCGAAAGCTCCAAAGCTATAGATGACAAGGATGTGTGGGCGGACGAGGCACTTCAGTGCTCTGATATGGGTGATGTTTTGTAGTATTTGCTTATATTGTGGCCCGTTGGGCGCTGATTCATGTTGTGCGCGTGCAAAGGAACATGCGTGTCACTAAGTATGTCCAAAGCTTCGCAGCTAATTGTGTTGGGCCATGTTGGGCCATTTTGCATTCAAGGTAGTACGTGTCGTTGGTGCAGTCACAGTTCCATCAGCTCTAATCTTCGACATGAACGGTCAATCCTGTGCAGCGTTGGAATTTGCAGGGCGGCCTTGATGAAGAAGAAGACGACTCGTTTTGGGCGTCTACTCATGGCAAGGGGTGCCTGCCTCGATGGCCCGGTGAATCGGTGTACATCCGTGTTTGCTAAGGTCCAGTGCGTCTGCAGACATCATTGGCAATACGCAGGCAGATGCAACACTTGTGATTCCACCACAGTGGTGCGCATCCCGCCTTGATGTGTTTCAGATGCTTTAAAGACCAATGTTTTTCCCGCAAGAGAATGCAGCCAGGTGTGATGAAGCGCAGTGTCCACGTTCAATTCAAGTGCAATGCCGAAAGCAGGTGTGTGTCATTGCAGGCTTTAGTCACTGCATTGCAGAAAGTCACGACCCATCTTGACTTGGTGAGAGCGGATCAAGCTCCTTGTGACAAAGCGCGCGAAATATGTAGAATTCGCAGAGAAGCGTCTCAGCCAAGTGTCATGCAGAGAATCAAAAACCCTTCAGCAGCCCAGCACTCTTGAGATGTTGCGATTGCCGGTATAGGGTGTGGCATTTGGATTGTTTAGGAGAGAAAGAGCGAAAAAGCGAGAGATCTTGAATTGGCTCAAGCACCTTGATTGCATTGAACCGTGCACACCTTCTGATTGCATGTTGCCATTGAGTTTGGGCTGGCAAAGTTGATAAGATTATTTGAAAGGATAACAGTAATCTGAGCGCACACCCCGGGTGTTATTCCCCAGCGGTAGAACCATGTTGAGATTTCGCTTGTCATTTTGATGCGACACCCGTCATTCCCATGATTGAAAGAATAGTGGACAAGGTGAGCTGGTCATTGTCCCGTGGGACACGGTGGCGGTAGCTGTTTGAATCGAAGTGAAAGAGCTTGTGTCACTAGCTCCAGTTGAATTGGCGGTGCCGCTAATGCATTAACCAACAATGCAAAGACTCAACGTAAAAAGCCTACGAAAGCATGCACTGCAAAGGTCATCATGGAACACTCCCAAATAGGCCAGAGTTTGTCCCCAACTATGATGATTTGTTGTGCTAAACTGATTCAAGGCTATCATTTCTAGATTCCAGATTACAGCCAGCATCCGCAACAGGAAAGCAACAGGAAGGCCGGAAGAAAAGCCTAAGGGAGCTATGGGGGTGCAAAAGGCAATTGAATTGGGTAGTTTGATTTTGGACCCCCCCCCCCCGCCGTGCGGTGTGCTCCTGTCACTCGTTGCAGGGCCTGCGCTGCTTGGGTCCACTGCTAGGAGGGCATTTGGCAGCCCCATGCAGCCTCAGTCACGCTCGTGGCTTGTGTCCGCTTTTGCCACCATGGTGTCACAAAGCCACCGCAAAGCCTTGCAGCCTTTGCCTGACTCCGTCCACAATCTTGCATTTGCTCATTCTTGCTCCTTTTTGCATCGCCACACGCCCTTGTGTATTCGCCAGAATCGCTTGCCTCGTAATTGCCGCACCGAACTTATCATTGAACCCCACAGAGTTCTTGCGATCAAGCGCTGATTCAAAGCTTATTATTATATTACGGGCAAAGTTGGTAGTTTCTGTGAAAGTCTGCGGCTCAGCAGGTCGGCTATAGCTTGGGTTGTAGACAGCTGGGAGACACGTCCCTGGGGGGGTGGCTGCACTTGTTTGGCCTATTGCAACCGGATGTTTTTGTTGTCCAACACAGCGACATTATATAGACGGTCAGGCCGCAGATGCCTACAGTTGATGGTTAACAAATGGGTCCATCTTTTGTTTGTTCTGTCGATTTGTTTGGTCTACGTGGGAAGTGGGACCTGTGCAAACCATAACACAGCCGAACAATACCCTGATTCATACTTGATCTTTATTATCAGCCAGCCGCTGGCAGCAAATCGAGTCGTCCCCTACGGTTTCCCGCGGGTGTGCAGGTGTCCTTTGGTTTTCCTACTTTCTTCCCGCAGGTTTTGTGCGCGATTCCTATGGGTCTGCAAGGTTTCTTTTGAGAGTCAGCTCGGCAAATAGGACAGTTGGCAGAGTAAATGCGGAAATGCGTTGTAGTTAGCGTTGCAAGCATACTGTTCACCAGCACGGGAAAGCAGCACCGTGACTATTCGTCGTTTGGGCAGTGCCGACGAGGATAGCATTGGCCTTTGGAATTGCACGGCATTCGAGTACTCAGCCTAATCATCCTGTCTAGAAGCACATTTTGCGGTCGTTCAGCGATGAGGGTGCTTTCCTGGCAGCAATCTCTGGCTGGAACCGCAGCGCTCATAGGTTTTAAAGAATTATACGAGGCCTCCAAGTTTTGTTGCCACCGCATACGACGAGCCCATGATGTTGCACTTGCCAACCTTGCTTGGTAGCACGTATTAGCACAAGCGCGCACAGACCCATACACACTCTCACACACACACACATACATTGACTCAAATTGATACACACGTTGACACACACACACACACGCACATGTACACGTACAATAACACACATGCAGGCTGGGCCAAGATGTGGGGATGGACAGTCAGTGCAGCCACAGAGATTGAAGTAAGCATAGCAAACGAAAGCCCCTGCAGACAACCCTCATACACATCAGCTTTGCAGTGCCATGACGGCGGTGGAAGGCTCACCCGAGGCACCGTGCTTCATGCACTTTGAACTTTGAACCCCAAACTCGGGCCTTGTCCGGGGATCAATAAACGTGAACTTGTTTGAGCCCGTCGAAGGCAACCGATGCTCACTCAATTTGGAAATATTTGATACGGCAAGAGAATCCTGAACGTGGTGTCAATGAACTTACAGAATGGCAGGACGATTTGGAAAGCGTGGAGGCAGTGCAGCATGTGATGCAGCATGCGTGCCATGTCTTAGCAGTACCGCAACAGTACTGCAATGCCAAGCGTGTTAAAGATGCCACTATGCCCGGCAAATGGCGTATATTGGCACTTGCATCACTTGCATGACTTGCATGACTTGCATGATGGGAATGGGCAAAAGTTGCAATGGGGAGGATGACGGCCTGACGGGAGCCGAAGCGCGGAAGAAGCGAAAGCCAAGCTCTTGGAGCACGAGCTGCACGCGTTTTCGCAATGCATCGCAATGCATCGCACCGTTGCATGGCCTTGCAATGCAACATTGCCCGAAGCTGCCATCGCATTTGTCAATTTAATGTGCACGAGGCAGCGGCATGAGGCACGCGAGGCAGCACGGCTGCAGCGCCTAGCACAGAAGGCCAGCTGCATGCTTTGAATGCTGCACATCAGGGTCCGCCACCATCAAGACATTGAAAAGTATTGAACACCTGTTGCCTCAATTGACATGTGATTCATTCATCAGCAGCATTCTTAGGCTGCAGCTCGACGTTCAGGCCCTTCCCCCGAGGAGATTCGCGCTTAGCCCTTAGTGTGGCGGATTATAGCATGCCTCGAGCAACAAATCGCAAGCCACAAGTTTTGTTGTATGCAATTTCACGGTGTGTTTAGACAAGGAGTGCGCACACATTCTGAGTGTAAGCCATGCTCTTTCCGACTTCCGGTCCGTCGATATGCAGCAAGGCACAAAAGATTGCGGAGAAGGCAGCTGCAAGAAGAAACAAGGTGCGGAATCAGATGTAATTGGAGTCCAAGAAAGAAGGGTCAGGGCATGCCATGCAGGCAGACTGCATGCCAGCTCGTCGTGTTGCTACACTATAATTCTACATTCCCTCAACAGCTCTGGTGCTTCTACGACTCGGGTGGTGATTAGGCGATGAGCAGAGTCGCCAAGCCGTTTCACGCTAGGCAAAAGCTGACAGGGATGGCGAGTCCCCGAAAGAGGAGGCAACTGCTTCAATGTCATGCCGAGTCAAATTTTAATGCACCGTACTTGAGCCAAAAGGAGCAAGAACAGGAAGGCCCCAAAGAGGAGGCCAAGGAAGAGGCCAAGGAAGAGGCCCAGGAAGAGGCCAAGGAAGAGGCCAAGGAAGAGGTGCAGGAAGAGGAGGCAGAGGCTGAAAACGAGGCTTTGGCAAAGTCATGCGCTTGCGAGCAAGTGTGCCTTTGTTGCTTCCTGACTGCATGCCTGTCCTCATGCCTGCATGCGTTCGTGCCTGTGTGCGTTTGCAGGTGCATGTGTAGAATGTGTCAGTGCAGATGTGTGTTTGAGTGCATGATGTTACCGAAGTTGAAACCTGCTCCTAATGCAATGCAAGGCTGAAGAAATGGCAGTGAACATTGCCGTCAAGAAGCCAGCCAAGAAGCAGAAGGCTATTTCCGCATGACCAGAAAAGCAGAATTCCAGTCTTTCCAACACCAGGCGAAGGATGCCAAAAATGGCGAGTCGACCAACCAGGAGGCAGTGGTCTTTGCCATGGCAAATGCATTGTTTCATAATCAAGGAGCCAAAGGAGGAGAAAGAAGCAAAAAAGGCCAAGGATAAGAAGGCCCAAGCGTGATCCCACGCGCTTCCTCACACTGCAAAACATCGGGCAGCCACGCATAGCATCCAAAATCCGTTGCAAGGCTGGAGAAGGAGAAGGGCGGACGACGTCCAGGGAAAAGGCAAGGCCGTCAGCAAAGCAATATCGGAAGTAAGCTTACCCAAATGGAACAAAACTCAAACGAACAGATCAGCATGTAACGGAACAGGCAGAGCAGAGCAAGTAGCCTAAGTGGCCTAATGAATACATCACAAAGCTGGATTGAGCGCAGCCACGTGGGACTTAAGCGTGGAAGTCATACCACGGTGGAGTAAAACGTAGTAAAGCAAGTCAGGAAGGTACGGCGCCTGCAAAAAATGTGCCAGGGCAGGACGACTGGGAGGCAGTATTTTTCCAGCTTCAGTAGTGTAACAAGTTTTGAAATGCATGTGCGTTTAAGACTGGCCAGACCGGGTGGGTCAGCCCTGGTGACAATATGAAATAGTTTTCGGAAGTTGAACTGTGTTTTTCCAAAGCTGCTTAATATATATGAGCCACGGACAAAACACACGAAGACTACTTTATCAAGGCGGGGTACGTTTTGGCATAACACATGCCAAAACCATGGAAAACGATAAGGTCTCCCCCAAAAACGATAACCCTTAGCTAACACACGGCTATATATAGTAACCCCTGCAGTTGCAACTTAGTTAGGGTGCGACCCTTGCGTGGCCACCGTAAAACGAGAAGGCGAGTCGCCACTTTCGAGCTGGAGCTGCCAAGGTGTGCTTCGTAAATACGACACTTGCACTGAGAAGTTGCGATTTTCGAGCTGGAGCTGCGGAAGTGTACTTCGCGTACTAGACTTGCACGACAAAGTTGCGATTTTCGAGCTGGAGCTGCGGAAGTGTACTTCGCGTACTAGGCTTGTACTACAAAGTTGCGATTTTCGAGCTGGAGATGCGGAAGTGTACTTCGCGTACTAGACTTGTACTACAAAGTTGCGATTTTCGAGCTGGAGCTGCGGAAGTGTACTTCGCGTACTAGACTTGTACTACAAAGTTGCGATTTTCGAGCTGGAGATGCGGAAGTGTACTTCGCGTACTAGACTTGTACTACAAAGTTGCGATTTTCGAGTGGAGATGCGGAAGTGTACTTCGCGTACTAGACTTGTACTACAAAGTTGCGATTTTCGAGCTGGAGATGCGGAAGTGTACTTCGCGTACTAGACTTGTACTACAAAGTTGCGATTTTCGAGCTGGAGATGCGGAAGTGTACTTCGCGTACTAGACTTGTACTACAAAGTTGCGATTTTCGAGCTGGAGCTGCGGAAGTGTACTTCGCGTACTAGACTTGTACTACAAAGTTGCGATTTTCGAGCTGGAGCTGCGGAAGTGTACTTCGCGTACTAGACTTGTACTACAAAGTTGCGATTTTCGAGCTGGAGATGCGGAAGTGTACTTCGCGTACTAGACTTGTACTACAAAGCTGCGATTTTCGAGCCGGAGCTGGAGCTGGAAGTGTACTTCGCGTACTAGACTTGTACTACAAAGTTGCGATTTTCGAGCTGGAGATGCGGAAGTGTACTTCGCGTACTCCACTTGTACTACAAAGCTGCGATTCTCGAGCTGGAGATGCGGAAGTGTATTTCGCGTACTAGACTTGTACTGCAAAGTTGCGATTTCGAGCTGGAGCTGCAGAAGTGTACTTCGCGTACTAGACTTGTACTACAAAGTTGCGATTTTCGAGCTGGAGATGCGGAATTGTACTTCGCGTACTTGACTTGTACTACAAAGCTGCGATTTTCGAGCTGGAGATGCGGAAGTGTACTTCGCGTACTCCACTTGCACTACAAAGCTGCGATTTTCGAGCTGGAGCTGCGGAAGTGTACTTCGCGTACTAGGCTTGTACTACAAAGTTGCGATTTTCGAGCTGGAGATGCGGCTACAAAGCTGCGATTTTTGAGGTGGAGATGCGGAAGTGTTCTTCGCGTACTAGACTTGTACTACAAAGTTGCGCTTTTCGAGCTGGAGATGCGGAAGTGTACTTCGCGTACTAGACTTGTACTACAAAGTTGCGATTTTCGAGGTGGAGCTGCGGAAGTGTTCTACTAGTTCTACTACAAAGTTGCGATTTTCGAGCTGGAGATGCGGAAGCGTACTTCGCGTACTAGACTTGTACTACAAAGCTGCGATTTTCGAGCTGGAGCTGCGGAAGTGTACTTCGCGTACTAGACTTCTACTACAAAGTTGCGATTTTCGAGCTGGAGATGCGGAAGCGTACTTCGCGTACTGTTGCGATTTTCGAGGAGATGTGGAAGTGTACTTCGCGTACTAGACTTGTACTACAAAGCTGCGATTTTCGAGCTGGAGCTGCGGAAGTGTACTTCGCGTACTAGACTTCTACTACAAAGTCGCGATTTTCGAGCTGGAGCTGCGGAAGTGTACTTCGCGTACTAGACTTGTACTACAAAGTTGCGATTTTCGAGCTGGAGCTGCGGAAGTGTACTTCGCGTACTAGACTTGTACTACAAAGTTGCGATTTTCGAGCTGGAGCTGCGGAAGTGTACTTCGCGTACTAGACTTGTACTACAAAGTTGCGATTTTCGAGCTGGAGATGCGGAAGTGTACTTCGCGTACTAGACTTGTACTACAAAGTTGCGATTTTCGAGCTGGAGCTGCGGAAGTGTACTTCGCGTACTAGACTTGTACTACAAAGTTGCGATTTTCGAGCTGGAGCTGCGGAAGTGTACTTCGCGTACTAGACTTGTACTACAAAGTTGCGATTTTCGAGCTGGAGCTGCGGAAGTGTACTTCGCGTACTAGACTTGTACTACAAAGTTGCGATTTTCGAGCTGGAGATGCGGAAGTGTACTTCGCGTACTTGACTTGTACTACAAAGCTGCGATTTTTGAGGTGGAGATGCGGAAGTGTTCTTCGCGTACTAGACTTGTACTACAAAGTTGCGCTTTTCGAGCTGGAGATGCGGAAGTGTACTTCGCGTACTAGACTTGTACTACAAAGTTGCGATTTTCGAGCTGGAGATGCGGAATTGTACTTCGCGTACTAGACTTGTACTACAAAGTTGCGATTTTCGAGCTGGAGCTGCGGAAGTGTACTTCGCGTACTAGACTTCTACTACAAAGTTGCGATTTTCGAGCTGGAGATGCGGAAGCGTACTTCGCGTACTAGACTTGTACTACAAAGCTGCGATTTTCGAGCTGGAGCTGCGGAAGTGTACTTCGCGTACTAGACTTGTACTACAAAGTTGCGATTTTCGAGCCGGATCTGCCAAAGTTCGAAAACACTGTAAAACGATAAGGTCTCCCCCAAAAACGATAACGTTCAAAAAAGTACTAGGGCCAAGTAACGTGTTTCGTCCGCTCCTCATATATATATATTGAATATTAATATACGTATAAGATATGTTTATTTGTGGGCATCATAGTTTGAACCATGTAGTTGTGAAGCAAATTAGCTATGCGCCCTTGAGGATTTGCCCCAGCCATGTTTGTTCCCTTTAAACAGGGGGAACCAGCCTTTGCCATTGCCGAGATGGAAGTATACGAAATGTTGTGCTGGCCTGGAGTTGAGCAGGATAGGGACCACCACAAGCGGCATAAGCGTCGTCACTCCAGCCGCTCTCGCGAAAGAAGAGGACACCAAAAGGGGAGCATGTACATCTTAGCAACTCCAATGCTCTTGCTAGAGGAGGACACGGAAGAGGCAGAAGACATGATAGCAGAGAGAGAGCCCAGCACAAGGACTGGTTAGTGCTTCGTTATTGACCCAAGCATTTCCCTCCATTGCCTGATGTCCGTCCCTATGCCAGGACAGGAGGGAAGCCCGAGACAGGGCCAGGCGGCATCTTGAGTATACATGCAAAAATGTGTGTTGATTGCGCCGTTGCGTGCTTCATCCCACACACACACACTGGCATGACGTGTAGCATTTTCTTCCAGCCAGCATGTTCAAGGTCTGCAAGACGGGCCAACAGACGGGCGGACCTTGTCTCAGTGAAGCAAGGGCGTCAGTGCTCACAATGGCTAATCATATTAAGCCTCTGGAAAAGTAGTTCACTGGTAATCGCTTGTCGCCTTTCTTTTGAGCCACTGGTTTGTGCCCAAGGACAATGCAATTTCTCCAGAGAAGCCTCCAAAGAAGCGGCTTGCAGTGGGCACTCGAGTCCGAGTGGTCACGGAGAATGAAGACAAGGAGGGCTTGTACTTCGATGACGATCGTGTGCCTCGGATGCAGGCCATGGTACGGTCTATGTGGATGAAGCAGCGCAATGGATCATATTGGCTGGAATGTGTGGCCACAGCGAAACCTTGAGCAAGTGAGAAGCACGCGCAGGGGACGCTATCAAGATCCTACTATGACTAATTCTACTCCTGTGGCTAACTTTGTTTACCTTAAAGCTGTTGCGCATCCGGCCTCGTTCTAGCGCCGCCTCCTGCGTTGCCCTTCAACTGGTCCGCTATGCATGAGCTAAGTTTCGCAAGAAGGCAAATTGGCGCAGTGTCAGTTGGAAAACCGAAGAGCGCAATGTGCTTTGAGTCTGCGCGCAGGCGCCCCGGAGCCTCAGAGGTCAAAACCACCAAAGAGCAAACTCGAAAGCCGGAGTACAGCGCAAAATCAAACATATCCAAAAAAACTACAGATGAACCAGCCCAAGAGGAAAGCAGGCATATGCGAGACCGAGCCCATGATGCAAGGAGTATGTTTGTTGCATGTGTGCCTGTGTGCATGTGTGCGTGTGAGTGCGCGTGCGCGTGCGCGTGCGCGTGCCGTGCGGTGCCGTGCCGTGCGGTGCCGTGCGGTGCCGTGCCGTGCGGTGCCGTGCCGTGCCGTGCCGTGCCGTGCCGTGCCGTGCCGTGCGTGCGTGGGTGTGTGTGTGTGTGGGTGCGTGTGTGTGTGTGTGTGTGTGTGCGTGTGTGCGTGTGTGCGTGTGTGCGTGTGTGCGTGTGTGCGTGTGTGCGTGTGTGCGTGTGTGCGTGTGTGCGTGTGTGCGTGTGTGCGTGTGTGCGTGTGTGCGTGTGTGCGTGTGTGCGTGTGTGCGTGTGTGCGTGTGTGCGTGTGTGCGTGTGTGCGTGTGTGTGTGTGTGTGTGTGTGTGTGTGTGTGTGAGTGTGCCACTCAATTTGTTGCTGCTGGGGAGATGGTTTGATGTGGTGTGTCCTGTTCATGTTAGGTGCAGGACAACCATATGCAATCTGCAATTCCCAAGTTTGTAAACGTATTTTGTGCTCCCTTGTTAGCATACCTTTGTGGACATGTTGAATCGCATTCAGCTCCTTCAGTTGCACTGGCATGTTTGATCATGACAGAAGATCTGATTCAAGGTCGGAACGAAAGGCATGATTGGGCAAATTACGGAAGACGACCAGTCCGAGCAGCCGTTCCGTGTGAAGCTGAAGAGTGGCAAACTCTCCTGGTTTAAGGAGGTGTGGGTTGAGGCGCGGCCATGCAGTGTGGGATTCAAACTACGTCGATTCCTCGCAAAATCAGAAATCCATCCATCCTCCCCATGCCTCGCACTGATCGAGCTGCTGCGCACTCTCAGGAATGTGGGCCGGCAGCTCAGCCTTGGGCAAAAAAAGGGGGTTTGTCAGAGACTTGGCTGACGGTTGGAAGTTCTGATTCGCCACGGCAGCTGCAATGAGTGCAATGAGATGATATTGTGCATGGCATTAGACCATGATGTTTCTGTAGCGGCTGAAAGCGTTCATGAACTTGGGCTCATTTGAAATGTTTGTTGGCATGCATCCCGCCCTCCATCGCAACAGCATATTTGGGAAACCACACTTCAGAAGGTGTTTTTTTGGACGACTCGCTTGAAGGTCCTCTTCTTCCTCTTCTAGCTCATCGTCTTCCTCCTCTGATTCTGACAACTCGAAAGCCGAGGCTGCTTGAGTTTAAAGGGTTTGCCCACTCCGATAAGGAGATGTTCAGATTCAAAGTGCATGATGCGCGACTTGCACGTCCGGACTGAGAACAATGATGAAACTGCCGCTTTTAGTGCTTCATGATGTCAGACTGTATCTAAGTATTTCACAAGACTTGCCTGTCAGGCAGATGGAGAGGCTGAGGAGGCCAGCGCAGTTTTGCAGAGTGATTCTAGCTTTAATCAAGATTCAGGTATGGGCATTTGGACATGTCCTGTGCTTTTATAAAATCGATGCCATTTGCATCGGATGCATTTGGCTCAACTTGGCTGTCACGACATTTGCTGCCTTACTCTGAAGGCCGCTTTTGCCTGGGAGAGGACTCCAAAGAATCTGCCGGCGGCAGGTCTGGCAATAGCCCCAGCTGCGAAGACTGCACGCCAAGGTAGGGATTGTTGGCTTGGACCGATGGCAATCAGATCTGAGAGGGTGATGCCTCGGAAAGCCCAAACAGGCTCCTTCCCTACATCTCCAATTGACTGTCTCTACTTTGCCGTTCAAACTGCTGTTGTGCGAGCAACTTGATGTTTCATTTGATTGCCGTTTACTTTTGCTTGACACCTCTTTGGAAGGAGAGCTTCAATTTGATGTCCAATCCAATAGCAGAAATGTGATGTCCCAAAGGATTATCTCTCAGCTGTCACCGTTTTGTAGAAGGAATACTGATAACCCAAACAAGATATTCGGTATTGAAACATACAACCTTGAAGAAGTAGGCGCAGTCAGGTGCGTCCAGATTGTGCGCAAATGATAGGTTGTTACATGCACGGCTCTAGCAAACCAAGCAATTGTTATGTTTGCCAGTTGTTGCCACGCTCAGTATCTTTCCAATTGGCTCCCTTTACTTTGATTGAACACATCGTTGGTTGGGGCAGCTTTTGATTTTCCGTTTTCCAGTTAGCTGCCTTGAAAGCTGCCTTTCGGGAATTGTTCATGTTTATTGTCCAAGTGACTGAAGGCCCACTTGAGTAGAGTCATGTGGCTTTGAGGAAAGGCCTTGGAAGAGTTGTTGTTTTGAAGCTTGCTTTGGGGAAAAAGGCATCAACTGAAAGTGACGTGCCAAGGCTTTTGGGAAAGTTGTGCTGGAAGGATGTGCATTCTTTCAAGTCGATATCAACTTCCACGTGCATTCCGAATGCTTGGCTAAACTTGCTGCTTTGGGTTTTTGCTGGCTGTTTGGCTCTGGTTGGCCATTTGAGCAGTAATAGTGTTTGCTTTGCTGTTTCGATGCGGAAAAAATGCGTCCATAATTGTACTGCAAGCGCTTCGCGCTGCCCGCCTCGTCACTATCAGCCAGCTTCTTTTGGTTGGCTTTGAAGTGTGAGTTTGCTAGAGGTTTCAAAGGGGGAATTTTAATTTAGTTTTCGGGCCCCCGGGTTTTTTGAAAAGAAGCAAAATGTTAGAGGAACCTGTGTTAGTAGGGGAAGGGATGAGAACAGAAGAACGAGGCAAGCTAGAGAAATGATGCTTGGCTGGGCCAAGTAGTCTGGCAGGCGGCAGCACAAAGTGGGTGCCAGGAGGGTGGGAAGGGCAAGGGCTAGGGCTCGCGCAGGGCTACTGCCCTACTGCCCTGAGAGCTACAGCCATAGCGCGAGGCCGCAGCTTGGGCCGCCCTCAAGGCCCCGTAGTCACAGCGGGCTGGGGCTCGTGGGCTGGTGCTAAAACATAAGTGAAGCCCTGCGCAAGTAGCAAAAGGGCAAAGCCTTGCAGCCGAGGGCAGTGAAGGCGGCATGGGGCTAGACGCTGCACGGGGCTCGTGGATTCAACTAGAGCCACAGCCTAGGCGAAGGGCCGCGCGACATGGATCGCTATGTTCTAAGAAGAAATCTGAGCGCTTACCCACCTCCGGCCCTGAGGTCCGAGGCAAATTTTAGTCCCCTGAAGCAGCTGCCAGGCCAATAAGAATGAAAAACCATTCGGGCGCCCTGTGCCAATCGAGTGCCACACTTTGTGCCGCGTGCGGTGAATGACATTGAGGCCGCCTATGCCATGAACGGCACCGGCCACGTGTCACTTTTGGCAGCAGAGGTAAGTGCCCCAGAAAATTGGGACAAACCTGGGCAAACTGCAACTGTCAGGCATTGCAACTGTCAGAACTGTCACAGTGCTATGAGCCGCTGCAAGCGCCAGTCGGGCAAGACGCAACACAGGTGGAGGCCTTCCTGATGGCCGGCAACGTCGTGGCTGCCTTATGTGCAAGTGACTGGGAGGAAGCCATTCTCTGATTTTGAGTAGCATTGAGATCCGATGAGAGCTTGTTCTCAACGAGCCAACGAAGCAACGGCAAGACTTCCGACAGAAGTGTTTTGACTACCCTCAGATGCTTTCAGATGCTGCCGACAAAACCAGCCACTTCTGGCCAAGCCACCCAGGATGGCGAGGCCGCGCAGCGCCTGCGAGTAATGCCAGCGCATCAGCAAAGGATGGTGATGGAGCCGATGGCTCAGACAGGATGATGTTTGGCCCAAGAAATGTAGGCGACTGATAAGTCACGAAGTGGCAAGAGCCCAGTAGTTGAGCACTTTTAATCTGCTGGGTTGGGCTTCACTGCAATATGAGAGTTGTTTCAGATGGCTTTGTAGCAGTCTAAACTGCAGGTGTGTGCGTGTCTGTTTTCATTCGTACTGGCATTCAAAACCTCATGCAATGCTCTAGCCTTCGATTTGTGACCCCTTACAGGAGTTACCAACTGGTACTGTAGGTATCAGGGTCGGCACGCATAGACATTCTTGCAATATTGCGCCACTCAGTCGCGGACCAATCGGTGGTACTCGCGCACCTTCTGCTGTCATCTCCTTAGCTAGCGCAAAGGCTTGCAATAGTCTGCCGTGGGAGAGAGAGTTGTCGATTCGCGAGCGAGCGCCTCTTGGACATTGTTCTGCATCCAAGTCCCCAGGTGCTGATAACGCGCATTAGAGATGCAGAGTTGGGTCGAGCAGGTCCAGGAACGGATTAAACCAAGCAGAATCAAGCAAGCTGACTGTCATGCCTGTGATGGCTCGTCGACTTGCCGTTTGTTCACTGATGTTTGTGTCAAGACACAGAACTCATGCATCATCGGCCTGCAGGAATCCTGGGCGCCATCCCTGTCAATGGAGGTTCGCCGTCATCAAACCCGGAGATTGAAAAGATGATCACCAAGCTTTGGTCCCAGGAGTTTCCAGCACAAAATTTGCAAGTCAATGACACGTAGTGTCGACATTGCTCGTTGCAGTAATGGAGATTGGACCGAGGTGGAACTTGGATGCCAAAGCAGCTTTCATGCTTCGCAGTCTCCCAAATGTACCCAGCTCAGCTTTCAGGCAATATCATTTGGTGTTGCTCAGCATGACTCAAGACCCCTCATGCAGCATATCCCTGGAAGAAATTGGGAAGCAGTGGGATGGACATTTGGACACACACACACAGATCCAGATTTCAGCGGGCGGGGGTTGGCCTATGCCTTTGAGCTATCTTGCGTGGGCCGCAACAGCGGCTGGTGGCCGTGGGCACCAGCACAGGCATCAACAATACCAGCGGCAGCGACAGCAGCAGATTTGTTACAGCAATTATACGGAGCCCCGTTCCCCCCTTCCCCTCCCTCTCATCCCTTTTTCGCAGGCCCAGAGGCATTCCCCTGGTTGAAGTCCTATACCCGACAAAGAAATCACAGACCCCTCTGGCACCAAAGGCGCAAGTGAGCCATTTTGTTCAGGGCCAAGTGAACCACCTAGTGACAATTTCAGCCCTAGGACAAGCATGAGCTTGTTTTGAAGATCTCCATCGAGAAGGCACGGCGCGCACCGATGTTTGCCATATCTCAAGCAGCCAGCGCAGAATGGTTTCGATGCTTTATGCTGCCGGGATTGGCCTTGGCAATTTGCATGGAACGTTACTTGTTGAGGCTTGTGTGGTTTCTGTTCATTGGTGTTGCTTTCTTCTGGACTTATCCATGAAACTATTGCCAGTCAGAGATCATAGTGCGCTTTTCTCCGACATTGTTTGGCTTTGCAGTCTTTACTCAATCCTTGGGATTGTGTAGTGCAGCGTCCGTCTTCCTTTGGATACCGAGTTCCCAAGCAGATAGCCGATTACTTTAGACCTTGCCTCTATCAATTAATGACCCCCCTTCTTTAACAGTGCTAGGGGGAGGGTGCTTGGGGCTGTTGTTCCATACCAGTTGCGGACATGGTTACTACCAATTGTTGGCAAGGTCACTGCCATGTTTTGCAAATTTATACCAATATGGGGGCAGACTTACCACGAATTCGAGCAGAGTTACTACCAATTTATACAAATTTTGAGGCAGAATTGCCACGCATTTTGGGCAGAGTCACTACCAAGTTGTGGCGAAGCTGACAAGTTTGATTGAACACTGGGGTCAAAAGTCAGGGCGCCACTTCTAGTATTGGTCCGACCGGCTTTTTTTGAGGGGGAAACCCAGCTCAGATGTCATACAAGTTTAATAAAAAATTGGGCCCGCAAAATTGGCATAAATCTGGCAAGTCCCAACGGCACAGCCAGATTTGAGCCAATTTTTGCACCCCATATTTATGCCAATTGATGCAAGTTGCTACAGATTTTACAAGACAAGTTTATACCCAGTTTACACCAATTTGGTATGAAATCTGAGTCCTTTAGAGATGTTTCTGGAAAACTGCTATACAATTTGTAAACAATCTGGAACACCATTTGTTTCATTTCGGCACTGTTTGTTGCTAGTACAAGTTTGGTATACCATTGGTACGCCATTGGTACAAAACTGGCATACGATTGGAATAGAATTAGGCACACAATTGGCATGAAATTAGTATTATAGTATAGAAATGGTATAAAGAGTTATGGGTAGAGGCAGTCCCCAACTGATACACCGTTGATTGCAGAGCTGGTCAATTGCAGCACAACACAGGCTCGCAACCCTTCTGCGTACGTCATCACTCAGATGAATTCGTGCGGCTGGCATGTCTTCATTTCTTTGCCTCGGCCTGGCTTGGTAGAGCTAGTGATCAAGCACAAAAGTCCCGAGTTCCCAAGGCAACCTTTCACGCCTGCAGATGTTGGTGCATGCTGCATGCCAGGCTATTTGGTGGAATGCAAGGCATTCAGGAGCAGCTCCATGCGCGACAATCGCTGTAGATGGAAATGTGTGGTTCAAGGTTTGATGACCAGGTCCTAGTACCTGAAGCGAGGGACTATCGAGTACAACCCATCAAAGCCTGCCCATTTCGTTGAGCCACGATGGCCAGCCAAGACTGTCACATTGGTTGAGCTCGTTCAGCCTGAGAAGCCCCAGCTGTGCGGTGCCGTGAAGCCTGTGCGATCCACGTAATTCTTCGCAGGGCAATCAGGAAGTCAAACTGCAACAAACTACTGGTTTGTTTGGGTTGCACGTTTTGAAAAGAAGCGCTCATTTTGGTCCAGTGCAAAACACGATGCAGAGCAAAGTTGAGTTGCGGTCTCAAGCTATGCCTTTAGAGAAACAACGCCACCTGTGACCCTTGAAAGTGGCAGGAGCTGCAAAAGCAGAATGCCATGAACAATGGCAATAGAGCCAGAACCTGAATGCACCATGGTGATGCTGTTCTCTCAAAGTCCAAGATAAACAAACATGCCACTCCCACTCCACAGTCAAGGCTTGTTGTTTGGTTAACTTGACAAAACCGGTGTCCGATGTTTGTGTTGTGTTGCTGGTTGTTTGAACAGCACGGCAGATACGTATTCTATGGGCACGTAAATCAAAGCAACTGCAGTGAACAAATATTGGCGAAGCTATGCACCAAATCATGCCAAATAGTCTGTTCGAAGGGTCCCACCTGGGACTGTTACACCAAGGATGTAATGCAGGCAAATCCATCAAGGAAGGAGCCCAACTTCTACCTGAATGCTGTGACTTGGCAGCATCAGTACTGTACTGGTAAGAAGTTAGATGGTTCTGCATAGAATCAAGAGGACAGCAATGCATGCGTAGCCTGATGGGAATTCTCTCCCTGGCCATGCTGTGAGGTGACAATTTGATGTCATTTGGCTGCCTGGTGGCCGGGTACGGAGGAAAAGGCGGTTTTTGCCCACGCTTTGATAATGATACTTCCGGCGCGCTGTTTGTCGCACACGGCATCCTTTAGAGCCGCAGATGGTGTGAATATTTCAATATAAAGTTGTTACTGGCTCAGCATGTGAATCAACTTCATGTTCCAAGATGCTTCCATGCAGCCGCCGGACCATGCATATCCTTGGGCAGGCAAAGTTCAGGAACAGATTCCGAGAAGATTGTGGCCATTGCATAAAGTACGGTTGTTTTGTGTTTACAAAGAATTTGACACTGTCATTGATGATGCTGTGCCAGGATGTTGCCTAGTTACATTAGCTATTGTAAAAGGTTTGCCTGCTACACCAGGTCAGCTTTTGCACCAAAGCCGTCATGTGCAGTGGATCGACCTGCAAATTGAGCTGGCGTCGAATTTCGCCTTGCGCCCCATCTGGAGGAATGGAATGTTCAGAAAGCGGACACGATTGAGGTCGCTTCGTCTAAAGTCTTTGGACAAGGCACTTACCCATAATGTCTTGCGCTTATTGTGAGCAGCGCCGAGCGCAACCTTAGCTCTCAGAGTTGGGGGAGACTAGTGAGGATGTGTGTGTGTGTGAGTGTGTGTTTGTGTAATTTTGTGTTTGTGTGTTGCCCTTCTCCACATTGTTTGGCACTCCACTTAAAGCCATGCTGCAATACATTCGGTGCAGTCAATGACCCAGCATGTTCTGCCACTGCTTTAGCGCCGATTGTCAGGATGGCATCAAGTCAATCTGAGGAATGCACATCGGGCAGCATGGGGCTTTAGTTCGTCAAGATTTACAATGGGCAGTTTGCTTTCTGGACGATGGACATGGGTTCCCACATTAGGAGCAGCCAATGTTGCTGAGACTATTGACAAGGCATACAAACCAATGTGTGTTCATCAAGAAGGTTTTTTTTTTTGCAAAGGTAGGGAGGTTCGACCAGGTTTGTTGCAGGCTGTTGAGTCGTATGTTCAGCACAGCTCAGCATTTCCTTGAAGGCTGCTTGGCTTCTTTGAATGGCCATGCGATGCAAAGCCTTTGAGTCAGCAGCGGCTGAACTTGTGGATGAGAGTCTAAGCCTCGGCATAGATTGTGCGTTCCATTTGGCCTTCTATCTAGCTTTGGGACACACCCTTGTCCAGCAACAGAGGAAAGCTGCCCGTGTGTGCGGGCTTCACGTAAATCGGGGGCAGTCGGAGGGCGGTTGCGACATACCTGGCAAAGGTCAAGGGCGTTTGTTGCAAACCTCAAACAATGCCGCAACATGTTTGCACATGTTGATGTTTTCGGAGCGAACACATTGTCACATTGTGCTGCGCAATCAAGAGGTCTTCATCCGCTGGAGCAGCTTGACATCTTGGCCAGGAAGGCGGGGTTCCAGATACACAGAGACAAAGAGAGAGTCAACTGCATGCGGAATGCCCGGAATGCCCGGAATGCCCGGAATGCCTGGCACCGGGCACCGGGCACCCGGCTTAGCGCCAAGCGCTTTGGAGCTAGGTCGGTGAGCTCAAATCTTCGGGCGACACGGATGCAGTCATTGAGTCAGGAGCCAAGCTGTGAATTCAGATCTAGTGATCCAGCCGTAGCTTCCAGCGGTCGAACCAACCTGCAGTTGAGATGCGCAGTGCGCAGGTGCAGAATCAAGGAGCTGAGCCTCCAGCGAGCCAGAGCCTGTCCTGCGCTGTTCGAATGGTTTCGAGTTGCACAGAGCGCTCTCTCGCTATCGGAGGTCCTATGCTACTTGCACCAGTTCCCCCTGCAGCCTCTCATCCAGGCTCAGGCGGCTCTTGCAGAGGCTGGATGACGTACTCGTGGTAGTTATGAGGAAAAGTCAATGGTCTCAGTCTGAGTCTCAGTATGTCTGAGTTATGTCTGAGTGTGCCCAGGCGTACGGTAATGGGGGCTACTATGCGCAGGACCACGGGGTTCAGAGGGTTTGTTTCCCTAGGATGCAAGCATGTCAAATGTGTAGACGGCACCTTGGTGCCACATTTGCAATTTGTCTTAGGCCAAAGAGCATTTAGCGCAAGCCCGCGAAGCTCGTTTCTAAGCACATTGTCACACCTTTCATCTTCTTGCCAGTATGCACCAAGGTTTGCAGTGGCGGAATCTACGATGAGATGCAGTGTCAGCGCTTGCAGGTAGCTGGGCTGATGGTTAGATCACCAGATGGAAGGTGGTCAGTCATGTTTTTCCAGGAGCAGTCATTGTACCAAACATAGCCAACTACCAGTGCGGCATTGCCAGCGTGTTTGCAGCTCGGGTCGCATTCGAAGATGTTTTGGGGTCGCTCTGCTAAATTGGGTTGAGATCACTGAGCTTATACCATACCAGCAAACATTGTTTGGCTTGCCGGCTTGCCCTTTGCGGCAAAGCGCCAAATGGTAAGCCGCCTGCAAACGATTGATGTCTCTCGTTAAAGTATGTTAAACCCACCACTGAGGTTGTTTCTAGTTTTGATCCATTCCCGTGTCCACCGCTTGGCTCGGAAGAGAATGTGAGGCAGATCTTATGGCGTCCGAGGGGGCAGTCTGCTTTGCCGAGGGTCAGCTGGAGGTGGGGAGTTGATTGTCGCGCGGATTTTGCACTTGGTGTTTGCCTGGGTTGGAGGTGGAGAAGATGATATGATATGATATGATATGATATGTTTGTCTTGATCGTAAACAGTTTCGGAGTTTCGGAACAGCCTGTTGCGCGCTCGCATTCCCTCCATACTTGTATGGTTCGTTACTTGCAAGTGGTCCAGTCCAGTGCCTTGGACTTTGCCAATTCTTCATTGATCGGAATTCATCGTGTTTGTCAGCGTTCCAGGCATGCGCATTACTTGGACAAACCCAGCAAATGCAGGTGCAGTGCACCTTCCTTTGGCAAAGATCTCGTGTGTGTGGTTTTTTGCCACGCAACAAGCTTGTGCAGAGGGTGGCACTGGAGGGAGTTCATTGATAGGGGGCTCCTCTGACAGCAGAAGCGCAATTCCCTTTTTGACATTCAATCGCAGGATTGGCAAGGTCAGACTTGGAACCTTGCTGAAGTGTTAACATCCGACGCCGCGGCCACCCGATTTGGGTGAGACCGTCGTCACCTTGTCGCTAGACTCAGCACCAGCACCAGCAACACGATGTCAGATGATGCCGTAAGTTTGGTGGTTGTTCCGCGTTTTAGTGTTTTGCGTTTCGCAAGATGATAACTTTCGCATCCAGGGATTTCCGATGTATGTATCACAGATGTCCCGCATGTACGTATGTATATATGTGTATGTATGATATATATATATATATATATATACATATATAATATATATAAAAAATATATGGAAATATAGAAATGTATAGACATGTTGAGTACACATTCTACAGCGTAAAGGGCTTGGCTGTTGCTTACATGAGGCAGCCGAGAGAGTCCTCATGGACGCAGCCCGGATGGGCAGAGAGACGCGGGGCGAGCTGGACAGATTCGCATCGTCAGAGGCCCAGTTGACACAACTACAGGCTGGTGTGCTCCGCAATCAAGATGGATAGGGGCAACATGGTTTCGAGTAGAGATTTTGTGTATTAGGTGTTGGTTATGTCTGAGGTGAAGCCATGTCAGGGCAAGCTATTGTGCTGCTTGACACAGTTTCAGGGGCGCTGGCCAGCAGGACATGGATTGGGTGAAGGAAGCGTCGATGCCAGCCGAGCATGCTACCCCTATCTACCCCTACTTGTAGAATTTAATTGTACTCAATACTGCGCCGTCAGCTTGTTAGTGTTTGCCTCACACCTGAGCCTAAGACTGGCATCCGCCTCATGAAACCTGAGGCATGTGCATATGCTCCTGGGCGAGGCTTGCTCGTGTCAGTTTTTGCGTTGCGGGGACTTGCCCTGGCTCACAAAGCATCCCCGAAGCTTTGGGCCGGCAGCCACCCGATTGGGGCGTGATACTTGTGAAGCATGCAACCTTTGCAAATTGCAGACTTCGGCTGCATCCACGTTGCAAACCTGTTCATACGGACAGCAACAGAACCTTGTCGGCCAGGTGGCCTCGAAGAGATGCAATGTCGACCGGGCCATCGACCACTTCTCAGAAGCTTGGCAGGCTGTGCCTGGTTGAGCAACAACGGTTTGAACGCAAATAGCTGCAAAACAAATCAAATGAAATAGGGGGCGCAACAGCCGTTATCAAACCACAAGTCCAAGTGTTTTTGCTGGGAGTCCTGGCCCCAGCATTTACCGCAAAACGTGCACTCTAATCAGTCATGCACGAGCTGCATACTAGCACTTCACCACATACGCGTGCACACAAAAGCAGACTACTTGAAGCGTGGCAAGCCGATGATGGGTCATTGCAGGTGCATGATTATCTAGATGGCGCTTCTGCTGAGCCTACTTTGAGGATCAGGCTAGAGCATGGTATGTGGCACATCTATACAGAGATACGTTCTTCGTGTGTCCAATGCCATTCAGCTTTCTGGCCTGAAGAACCCAACATGGATGTGGCAGGATTCGAGTAGCAGAAGCTGAACGCTCTGCGGACAGGCGCCTCATGCAACAATCTGAGAAGATCGTCAGATATTGAACGCAGGCTGGAAGAAGCTGTGAAGAACATACAGGCACCGAAGTGCTTGTAACAGCATGTAGCAACATCACGTACCTTTGCAATTGTTTTGCAGAGTGGCAGGCGGTAGTCGACTGTCTCAAGGAGGATTTTGCGTTGAATCCCCAGGCACGCTGCATCATTGTTGGTTCTTATATCGTTCGGGGCTAAGCCAAGCCTAAGTGGGCAAGGCTTGCACAGTTTGCCCGCCTATGTTGCAAACAATTCGCAGTAAATTGCCTTTTGCTGCATCACATCCTGTCAGGGTGAGTTGTTTGAAACAGCCAAAGTCATTGTTTTGCCAGATCCGACTCTGCAAACTGGCCACAATATACAAAGACCCTACTGGTTTTATTCGAGCATAAGGCGCTCTGGGGGAAGCTTTGGCACCGTGATGTATCACTACTAGCAGAATTTGCACTTGAACGCCACCCATGACTACGTCCACTTTGCCGTCCACACCATTTCATTTGCGTTAGTAAAAGGCCAGCGCTTGATGCAGGAACAGGGATCACATTGCGCCCTCAGTTTCAAAGCTTCGCTGATGATGCCTAGGAGCGAATTATATAAAGTCACCTGATAGAAGGAAGTTGAAGAGAACCCAAGCCTGTAGGGCTAAGGTACCGATACCAGACCTTGAGCCAATTTGGCCATTACGTGAGCGGATGCTTGGAAGAGATCTTTCCAAAAGTACACAAGGCCGACCTTGGGTGGCAGGCTCGTTGTCTTTAGAAACGCGGACCCAGCGGCAGAATTACGCCCAAGCCTAAAGCAAGAACTAGTTGCGGCCTCACTGCGTGAAGAATGTGGTATCCTGTGTGCCGTCTACATGTTTGTTCACGAGTGCGAACCTTTCGCCCAGGATTGATGGTCAGCTGGTCGCTTGAAGCCGTTCAATCCAAAACAATCAGAGACCATATTGGCAAATCCAAATGGGCTAAAAAGGCTGAGCTTGAGATGTGGCTGTTCTTTCCATTCCGTCTGCCCAGTTGCTGCTCGCGAGCGCCTCCAAGCTAGCGCGCTGGCCAGCACCCAAGGGTTTCCAGCGCATCACGTGCAGATGGACATGAAATTCTGAAAGCACAGGAGCTCCCAGCAAAACCTTTGGAACACCAATGTGCAAAGGGCTGGACACAACATACTGACATGTGCACTAGAACGTGCCACAGTCTTCTTTGTTCCTCCTCGCCTGTCTTGCTTTTCTCCTTCTCTTCCTCCTTTCCATTTCTCCTTTGTAACTCCTCCCTGTCTTCCCTCTCTGCTTTCCTTCCTTTCTTCACTTCCCGTCTTCCCTTCTTTTCTTCTTCCCTTCTTGTCTTGTTCCCTTCTTTTTCCCATCCCGTATTCCTTCCCTCCCTGCTTCCCTACTCTGCCTCTCTTTCTGCTCCTCTCCTGCTATTCCCGCAATACTTGCAGAGTGAGAAGTGTCAGAAAACACAAAACGCTGGAAAACGATAGGGGGCTCTCAAACTAAGTAGCGAAACGGCCGCAAGAAAGCAATTTCGACCGTGCCTCATATGGATACTTTTTCCAAATGACAAGCAGCAAGCAAATATTGTTGTTTGACAAATAGTGCAAATCCCTCAATCTAGCTTTGTCCAAGAAACACGCGTTGCGTGGCTCACGACCCATAACTGAGGCTTGAGGCTGACAGTCGTGATCAAGAGGCGCTCGAGGCTGCGTCGTAAACTTGAGCGTGTTCGACTGAAGCGACTTGCCCAATGGCTGAAAGCAGAGTGGTGGGCTTGAATGTTTTTCGGTTCCTGAATCGTCGAGATCCGAACAGGCGCTTCAGACAGCTGAAGCTGTTGCGCAACAAGAGCAGGAAGCTTTCTGCCTGGCCCTCAATTTGTGTCAACTTTTCTAGAGGTTCGTCAGGGGACGCGTGAAGCGCAAAGAGACAAGCGCCAAACAGCCAGAACACGAGGCAACCCCCGCCCACCCCCCCCCCCCGCATTGGCAAGCTGCGCGTGTTTGACGGAGCAGAGTTTGCAGTGAAACGCAGCACACATCACCAGAGGTGAGGAAGACCCTCATGTCGTGGATGTGAAGAGAGACGTCGCACCCTCAGCGCTGCATGCGACTGCTGCGCACAAGCCTCGCAGATTGCGAAAGAGAAGGCAACTGGAAACCAACTTGTCTCGACACGAGGATGGGAATATTGGATTTGCCCACGGAGCTGTGACAGGGCAACGAATCTCACACGCGTGTGTGTGTGTGTGTGTGTAGCATGTCGTGTCGCTGCGCGCGTTAATTGCTCTCACACGGGGCCGGGGCAAGTCTTAAATTATTTGAAGGGCGGTCCTGAAGTGCCACCACGACAGGAAAGCTCTCCATCGCAAACGACTGGCGAAACGAACGCGAAACCAACCGCGTACCCCGCACTAAGGGACGTTCTAAAACCACTGTAGAAAGTAGTATTTGGTAACGCGTTGATTTATACTAGGCCGCGAAAGGTTCGCGAAAGGGTTTGTTGTTTATGCACCCACGAAAGGTGTGCGAAACAGCCAGAATCTTTGTGTTGTTGTTTGCAAGTAGGGCTCAGGCAGGTGGGTTGGTTTGGCACGGAGCAATTGCAGGTGACAAAACTCACTCACCAACAGACACTTGTGTAAAGTGAGGAGGCAGGTATGTCCTTGCTTGCTTAGAACAACGACAAAGAACCTTGGATGCAGCGCCCGAGACAGCTCGAAAATGCAGCCCGATCTCCGCGAAAGCTCCGTGAAAGGGGCCCTGCAACTTCCCAGCCTCTCCCCATGGGTCACCGAATCAAGTTTCAATTGGCTTCCCGAAGATAAGAACATACTTGTAGTTGTCCAGCGTAACGGGAAAGTTATTCCCTCATCCAGAGCTCGCGCGAAAGGAATATGTTATGCCGCGAAAGCTCCGCGAAAACCTTCGCGAAAGGAATTCAACATTTATCTTCTCAGTTGTGGATCAACACAGGCGCTAAACCCAATCCAACCCCAACCCAGCGCACCCAGCCCGCGAAGACCCCACCCTTCTGGGCACAAGCGACGCACTATCCCTGGCACGCACTCATGCCACAGTGCCTTGCTCAGATGGCGCTACTGCACATCAAGCTAGGGCACCACGATCAGGCCGGCTGCTTGTTCGCAAACTGACTCATTAGAATGTTGTTTTTGTTTTGGCACTTTGGCACTTTGGCCCACTGAGAATCGGTGCATGCAGAGAGAGAGAGAGAGAGAGAGAGTGATGTACACTCTTGCATTTGGCATGTTCAGCTTGACAGGCTGTGCTTTGGCTGGGTGCACCGGGTCGGTTTCGGCCATGGTATCAATAACTAATTGAAACCAAGAGGCATTTGCTTCCACGACTTGTACTCTCACCTTGTCTCACCGATGTTGCTAGCTTTTCCATGCTTTTCCTACTTGTAAAGGCATTGGCACGGGCCCTCAAGGGCGGCAGGCACGACACCTGGGTTTCGCAGCGACAGGCTTTAAAGTACCTGAATGAGGTGCACTACTTTGAAAGAAGGCCATATTACCATTGCATCCGCAGACCGCATAGTGCTTGCGGGCAAACCTCGAATGAGTTGCGTTGTTTGTTTACGACCCAGGCTGCATGGCTCCCAGCCTGGCCCACAGCAGCGCAGGAGACCCAGCCCTGCCATTTTACCTGTGCCCAGGTCTGCTCAAGTGGCGCGGACACTGAAGGCACCTCACATTCAGCAAAAACGGACGCCCCAGTAGAGCCCAAACCTGAGACATGCCATAGCCTGCTATAGCCTTTTAGGCTCTCGGCACCGTGCATGTGGCACACGGCAATCCAGCGGAAGCAGAGCGGTGCCTTCTGCAGGACCCAGTTTTGTCAAGCTGTTTCAAGCATCGGCCAATGAGAAGAAAACTTGCTCAGGCATTGAGAATCTTCGAGACTGACAGCCAGCTGTATGCTGGGAGCATCAGGGATATTCATGCAAAGTCATGCTCTCAGTTGGAGTCGTGCTCTCTCTCTCTCTCTCTTTCTCTCTCTCTCTAAGGTTGGCAAGCATTGGGCCGCCATCTTGAACGACCAGCCATTATCTTGTGTGACGATAAAATCTAGCACTCAGTGCTGCCCATGTGGAAGCCAATATGGCTGCCATTTGTAAATGACAATCATGTTGATTCCTTGCACGGTAAAATTGCCGTGCATCAAGCAGACAGCAGATAGAAAACAGTGAAGCTTGGAATCTCATGCTGCAATTGCGTTGCATTTTGCCACGCGCTGTTTATGTGGCCACGAAACAACAAATGCATGCGCAGCGTGCATGCACGCACTCAAGTTGAAGAGCCGTGGGTGATGGTCTTTTCTCAGCCAAAAGCCGCTTGAAAGTGCCATTGCAAGAACCACCCCAACAAAATTTTACCACAGTCACCCTTCTCAAAGGATTAAACGCTGTCCACCGCCTTGGTCGATTTAGATGTGGTCCTGATCCTCAGCTGTCGCTTGGCTCTTAGCGCACAGGCTGATGCTGGACGACTTTCGTAGACCATGCACTGAACGCTCTCTTAATTTCTTCTCCCTAGTCCTAGCTGACTGGAACAAAATTGAGGAAGCAGACCTTGTCTAGACGTCATGATCGGTCCGCTACTCCCGAGGCCCATGGCCATGGTGCCGCACTGAGCAGCATCATTGCCTGTACCACTGTCTGTAGCTTAGCATGCCAATGCATTTGCTTCTCATGATGACTCATGCTCTCGTAAATGTTGATCTGTAGTTTGCACCCTTCCGGCGATCCTGCCTGGCTGTTCCTTGCTTAACGCATTTGCCTAGCCGCTTCAAACATCCGTGCTGTGAAACTTGCAGCTTTGCTTGAAGGCTAGCCAAAGGCGATCAGCAGCATGGAGCCGCTTAGGTTGCAGCTCACTTCAGGACGTTTGAGATATGCTAAATGCATCCAAATGCTTGAAGGCGTGCATGATGGTCAATTCATTCACGTAGCTGAGGATCCCTTCCTGGATGCTCAGAATGCTGAAGCTTTGGACGCCAAACGCCACCAACGCAATTTGGTTCCCGCATGAATCGAGCCCAATGTGATAAATGTAATGTAATTAACATGCAAACGGTGATGGTTGCCCAAGAAATCAAAACAACCAGAATATATTTTGGGCCATTCTAAATTTTGTTGCAAGTGTAACAGTAAGCGCCTGCTTTGCCAAATGCATCCCCTTTCAGGCGTGGACTGTTCTTTCGGGAGGCTCGTTCTCGTCTTGGAATGAGCGCTAGATTTGTAGAGGATGGAGG